AAAAACGACTATATAAACCTAACCTCTATAATAGCTTATTAGGTAGATTTTTAATATCCTTTCGTACAAGGCCTATAGGTATCTATTTAAATTAAGGCTCGTTTAATGTCCCACGCACTCCTATATGCCTCTAAGTGACACTACCGCCGATACTGATCCGAGCAGTCTTGCCTGCGCCGTTACAACGTGGAGGGATAGTAAATGTTACTTTCCACGACACCCGAGTTAGAGTATAAATATTAAAAACATGCTTGGAAAACAGCCAATGGAAAATATCGTCCTACTGGTTGGTTATGGTTGTTGATTACTCCCGCTTTCAAGGCAGTTGATAAAGTTTTCTAAACTGTCTTCACTTTGTCTTATTTACGCATCTTACAAAGAATCTTGCAGCCTCTATCTATTCCAAATCATTATAATTTCTCTCTATTTGCTTCATGGATAGCATTAAGTGCCTTCGTCGCCGCTCGCTGAACAACTTCAGACTGCACTTGTAACTCTCTCAACTGCGCTTCCCACAAAGACCACTCCTTTAAACTCGTCCTTCCATCCTTCACTGCGTAAGTTTCCTCGCCTTCTTCTGCGCCCTGTCGGAACCGCTTGCCACAAATTGCAAGCCACTCTGCCGCAGCCGGAAGCTCGAAATCCAGCAGCAGGTCTCTTCCCAGAGCGCTATCAATGACTTCATATCCCCAATCAGTTGGAATACCTGCAATATCTGCGATGGCTAACCGTGCCTCGACCTCAGCTCTTCTTATATGCTCGTTCCGTAGTGCGTCACGCTTTGGGCCACTGGTCTCCTCGGCATCCATTTTCCAGCTTCCGGATCGATAACTGATGTCATACCATTGATTGGCGAAGTTTGGTAGACCTTTCCAAAACTTCTCATGAGGTCGCTTATCTGGCTGAACAGCCGTGAAGTCGGGTTCTGGAAGGTTCTCGATAGCTTGAAGCAGTGCCAGTAACGGCTCAGTGTGGTCTGGTAGTTCTACAAGAGCATCAAGCAAGAGAACATGAAGGCGGGCAAGGTCTTTTGTCGGAAACTCTGAAGTCACCACGGGCTGCGTGATAGTCTGAGCTGCTTCGGTTGCGGTGATCTTCTGACGCAGGTAGTCTTTGATAGCCTTTACTTCTTCAGGATGGTTTTCCTGTTCAGGGGCAAGCTTGGAAGAAAACCAATCATCCGACATGATGTTGTGCGACGGTGTAAAATTGTGGAGGAAAATCGGTATAATAGGCAGAGCACAAGGCGTACTTAGTGTCCGATGTTGTAAAGAAGCTGATCAAAGTCTGTCTTGTAGCCCTGCAAATGTTTGTCACGTGTTATACCGTAGCTTAGGACTGGCTCTGACTTTTTGAAAAACGGGGATGTGATTTTGCAGCTTGTTGCTGAGGGTAAGTGGGACTGCTAAAAGCGTGCACTGCGCTGCTGCCTGCTGCTATTCTGGCATATGTAAATCCCCGTTGCTCTGACATCATGCCAAATCGTATCGTGCCCCGTGACGTCACACACACGATTCAGAAGCTTTGTTCAACATGACCTGATAAGGCGGCCTCACCTCTGCATGGTTGTGGTACAGTTTTCCTCGGTCTTACCTTCCGCATGCAATTTAGCGCTAAATATGTTTCACTCCACCACCGAACAGCCTCGAGATGCACATAGAAAAGCAAAGAATTGAACTTGATAGAACAGAAAGGCGAGTCATCGGAGTTCGCGGCGAACGTAGTTTGTGATAACTCAGAGAGATGGATGAAAGATACTGAGGCTTAATATTAAAGTTCTCTAACAAGACCCACAATTAAGTCTATACCGAGCCAAGTGTGATATGTAGTGGAAGTCTTACATGCCACATGCGGATTCATGCAGCTGAGCAGGAACACGGCACATATCCTTGCTATCAAAACCATACATTCGGTAGCTCTCCAAGAATAATCCAGACAGTTAGTTGGTCCTAGGAGTGTTTTTCTACATCTCCTAAAAGACATTGGGATGGTGAACAGAGGCCAAATCAAGCTGTATTAGCCTAATGAGCAGACTATAAGACTATTGGTGATAGCCGAGGGGAGGTAGACTATATGAAGGAGGTGGAAGAGAGAAAGCTCTACCCAAAGGCACCAAGGTTCGTGCGAGGATCTAGCAAGAATATTGTTACATAAGACCAATCATCTGTTAATATGTGAGAGGTCAGGCGGACGATGTTGTTTCTACCCAATAGTATATTGAGATCACACTTACGAAGAATAAGACACAGAAGAGAGCCATAACCCAAATTGATCACGAAAACGGGTCAAATCTTTTAGCATGGGGCCAGTACCACGCATACTGTGTGACTACGTGCATGCAATACTATAATAGCTCTTCGAAAACTCCACTACGCTAACCCGTGCCGCTCCTCGTATGGTAACCGCCCACTATGCGTTAAATACAACCAATTATACCCAAAGCAATAGGCTTTGGACCAGTCATAATTTTTCTAGAAATACTCAAGAGCACTTTCAACACCGTAGTCTCACAGAGTAGCTGCACTGAGACTCAGCGAGCGATATTGCCCTTCTAATGCCTCTTTGCGACTAACACCCAATTGGACGGGTGATGTACAAACAGTGGCACGGGTATTGTATGATGAAACGATTTGGCGCCTGGTGGAGGATGATGTGAGTACTTCAAGCATATTGATGTGTCATTAGTAGCATTAGAGACTTTACAACCCCACCCACTAGGCTGCAGGTGCTGCAAGAGACCTACTTCAGCGCGCACCCACTTCTTTGGCTTCTTCCTATCACTACGTACGCCAAAGTCCTGAAGAGCGGCTAAGCGCGAACTATCTTCAACTATCAAGGTCCCTTCTATCTCAACCCGCTTTCTTTTGTGTAATTTTCTTTGTGTTAAGCCTCGTTTGCTACCGAAGTAGTAGTGCTCTTTCTAATATTATACTTAGGAACAGTACGTGAAATAAGAGAAGCCTTGAATGTTCGCTCTGAAGCGGATCTACCGAACTGATTTTGGCCAAAGCATCACCCTAGCCTTGCAGAATCAATTAAGCCTGTACCTGTCGCATATTAGTCCTCTAGGAAGGAACGAGCGCAATCACTGTGGAGGTTACAATCGCAGTCGCGTACAAGAACATGCAAACGACTAAAAAGTAGAATATCCTCTTTCTACTCTTCGTAACCATCATGTCTCAGCGCCAACGCTGTTCAACGGAAGTGGCTAGGGCGTATACACCCGCCACAAGCGTCAGAAAGGTTTAGCTAAAGACGAGTTCCATCGCGTCCATAATAGTAGAGTGAGCTAGTAACACGGACATTGCATCTTTCTTAAAGAGCTCGTAGCTACCAAATCCCGATTGGAATGGTGCTTTGATAGTGGTTGCGGTACCAGGGGCCGCTAGTGCTGTGTTGAAGGCGAGGATGTTACTATCTACGAGCGAATACACGTCGTAGATTGTGGAATTGCAAGAGAGCGCAAATCCCAAGCGACCATCATCAACTTTCACGACAACGCTATGGGGTAACTACAGATCTTTCAAGATTAAAATTCCAAAAATAGTATAGCTATTACATATTTAGGACACTAAAGTCTATTCCTCTAGCTAGACCTAATCCTCTACGCTTAGTACTTTGTGCGTAGCTTAAATTACTTTTAGAAATATTAAGTCTTACTCTTAGAAGTATTTCTTACATAATACCATCTATTACAGAAACCTTATCTCGCGATAGAAGGTAGAGATGATCGTAGGTACTAAGTAACGCTCTCCTATCTGCGATTGGCAACCTCCAATGGCGCTGATGCCACGGTAGTAAGCGGCCCTTCCTTAAGGGGTCGCACGGACCATTCAGGGGAAGACAGGGGCCCATTTTTAAGTTTATTGCATGTAACCCTACTACTTGCGACAACACATCCGTACGTAGCGAGATGTACTTGCAGTTCGGACTTTCGTTGCTATGGTAGGCACGGAATTAGGGCATAATACCCCCTCCAAATGCTGCACTTAAGAAAGAAGTGTTTTACATCTAGGCACCGTATACACTTCAATGTCAATGCTTGTTTGTTTGGGGCAAATAATGTCCGCTCAGGCTCGAAGCAATGATACATGCGCTAGACAAGAGGCTAACATCCCCTTAGACGCTTAGCACCCGTATTCAGCCAAATTTAGCAACAGCTCTAGAGCGAACTTCCAGCGATGTTTTCTGTATAATAAGTCAGAGGCATCGCTGTGGCAAGTGTTCGAACTCAGATCTGAGATTTCATTTACACACTCATCAATATGCTCTTCAACATTATCGCGCTCCTCGCTGCAGCGAGCCTCACTCAAGCTGTCGTTCTCCCCGCACGACAGGTCAGTGATGGCAGCAAATGTATCGATCCGCCGCAGAGGATTGAGTGGCGCCAGCTCGAACCGGCTCAGCAGAAGAGCTACATCGATGCTGTGCTTTGCCTCAAGACGAAGCCTTCGCGTATCGGTCTCAGGTCACTGTTCGATGACTTCCCGCACGTCCACTTCCAAGTGGCCAGCAGTAGTAAGTCCGCCATTTATCTTGATAGTTACGCCGCTAAAAATGAACTCTTCCAGTACACAACCAAGCAACGTTCCTGCCCTGGCACAGGTACTTCACCAAATGCTACTTCGATGCGCTCAGCGAGTGCGGATACAGTGGCCCTGGAACGCAAGTCTTCCACTAAACACTCAAAAATAGACTCCAATAACGCAGACGTAGCTATTGGGATTGGACTCTGGACCACGAATCCCTCCTCGCATCCCCGGTCATGTCGTCCACCACCGGCTTCGGCGGAAACGGCGACCCCAATCGCAGCGAGTATAACGCGCCGACCGACCAGACACTACCGTGCGTTGACAGCGGACCCTTCAAAGACCTGCGCCCAGAGTATCTTCCCAATTCGCCCACCGAGATGACAGAGGGAGGTCACTGTTTCTTCCGCCAAGTGGCCGAGGCCAACGAGCCAGAGGCATGGAACATAATGAAAGACACGCTAACTCCGGAATACGTTGCCAATCAGCAGAAGCTTGAGACTTTCGCAAAGTTTGCGCCGGATCTCGAGGCCAGTCCACATGGAACTATCCACGCCAGTTTGGGCGGCGAGATGAACCCCACGACTTCGCCAAACGGTGAGTACAGATACGCATTTAGCAGGCTATTGAGTCTGCAAGTGACTAATGGAATCTCTAGAGCCACTTTTCTTCCTTCACCACCCACAAATCGATCGTCTGTGGTGGACTTGGCAGCAGCAGAATCTAGAAAAGCGTGTAGCTGATTACAGCGGCATGCATCGACCTTGGGGAAGCACGAGTTTCGTTCCGGCGTCTATGAACGATACATTGAACATGCTAGGCGTCGCGGACGACGTGCTAGTCAAGGATGTTATGAGCACCACCGGGCCAGTGTTGTGTTACCGGTACTAATTGCGATTTACTTCCATTAGTAGGCGAGGGAAAGTATTAATACCTATATCATAGATAGCAGCAAGCCAGTGGAGTGTTCAATATAATATGGGGTTGATAAGGTATACTGTTCCATTTGACTGGAAAGAAGCATATCCAGGTCTAGCACTGCAAGCGTAATAACGCAACGCGGTGTCGGATTATCGAGCGATATATGTAGAACAAAGATTAAAACGTGCCTAATAGGTGATCAACGGACATAGAACACAGATAACAACAAGCTAACCATCGGGACTAAGAGCTCGTAGCCAAGATGAAAATGCTCTGGAGACCTTTATCAAATGGAATGTACTAGGGGTTGGAAAGATTCTAGATAATGAACTTTAATAAGCATATTTACCATCTGAGAGGCGCATATCGGAAGACGCAAGGCGTTCGTACGCCCGATTGTTTTGGAATATATTCAACTAACCTCGGACGCGGTGTATCGTAGGAAAATTCACCATGAATGACAGCTTCCCACCCCACCCTGCCCAAGGCGTGTTTGTCAAACTTTTGTCCCAAACGTGATAGAATAAAATATTGCACAGGACGGCTATTAGTGCTGACCGGGCTCAATAGAATTTATCAGCACGGCCAAGAGCAAATTGAGTTGTTCCTCCGTAGGTCAGTGCCGCTATCGACAACCGTGCTCAGCCGTTCCGCTTTCTTCAGGCATATACTTGGTAAAATGCGGAAGTAGGGGCAGTGGAGGAAATATAGAGTTTTGCTTAGTAAAATTTTAGATAGATTAAAACTTTCATAGTACTATTATATTACGACCAATAAGCAAGAGCTTAAGGCTAAGTGTCTTCTCGTCGCGGATTACTATCGGTAGGTTTATAATATTGAATCTTTCCATCTCACGATATATTACAAAATCCCGAATTTCGCCACCGCCCTACTGCCCCTACTTCCGCATCTTACCAAGTAAACACTAGTGCACTGTACATGTCGAAAAGAAAGTTTTAAAACCACGGTTAGACATTAGGCCTAGAACTTGTGTCTAAGCCTCACTCTGCATCCTATGTGCATGTACTACATATGATCTATGATCAAAGGAGGTGGCTACGTTACACGGCGAACCCCACAAGCGCTCTTTTAGCTAAAAGCCTCAGGTTTGTCCGCCTAACATATCTATTACATAAAACGGTAGTTTAGAGGTGCCTAGGCCAAAAAGTAACCCACATAAGCTGATGTAAGAGCGGCTGGAAAGGTATATTGTAGGTAGTAGCAAGGAGTTGTATAGTCTTTGATCGTTCCAAACATATACATCAGTCACAGGATCAACACTACCTTGTTATCAAGTTGAATTGTACTTATAATGTTCATGCGTAGTATTCCGTATATAAAGCTCTTGATTCCCAATGAAGTGTGTAGCTCAATAGTGCTATTCATTACCTAGTAAACTCTATTCTAAATTGTCCTTGCGCTAGACAAACGGTAATTTCCGTAGAAATATACTTTTTAAATCATTCCCAGTAATAGCCTTTCGTATTTGTACAATCACGGCGCTTACGATAATATCAGTTCCGTAGCTTACTTGGAAACACAACAAGTATAAGAATCAGACAATATCAGCATCATTGTTCAATATCGCTTCCATTACAACCCATTTTCACAAGCAAACATTGCAATAACTACTACACGATTAAACGTTCTCCTCAACCCAAGATGCTCCTAACTAGCACCAAGACATGGATGTCATTGTTTCTTGCTTTAAGTGCAGTCCCTACTGTGCTCTGCGCCCCTTCTCAAGGCTCTCTCAATCTCGAACCAGTCCAAGAGATCACTTCTCCTCTTGCTCTCTTTCCGAGAGCCATCTCTCACGCTATGACTGAGCGCGACGTTGTCCCTACTCATTTGGACAAGCGCGCTGTTATCACCTCCCCGAATACGCGACGAGTTATCAACCTTTCATTGAAGGAAGCAATCCATGGTATTGCTGCTGGTACAACGTGGACGTGGAGGATTGCCTACCAATTTGTTGGCAATATTAATGGTCAAAGCGGCCGCCTGACTGGGGCCAATGAAGGATCAAGTGCAGGTTCTGCGGCTTTTCCGGATTTCCAGATCGAACACATCTTCAGCAATGCGGTTGACGGCGTCGTAACTGCGATCTTCGACGTAGTCAATTCAGCCAACCAGAAATTCGAGCTGAAGCTTGTCTGGGATGAAACATTCAAAACAGCATCAGCGACTGTTGAACAAGTAATACACTCCTACTGTACTTACTTTACCCCTGGTGGTGCCCAGGAACATCTTAGTCAGGATCAATTCTCATTTACTTTAGTATAAAGTTATGTAATCTAAACATAAGGCTTCAGAGTGCGAGTAGGAGTGTGAGTGGGTGTAGAAGTAGAAGCAGAGTTTCTTCGTAAAACTAGACATATTAGAATAAATAATATCTACGTCATGCCTGTCGAAACTATCGCGCTCGTTATCTATCAATACTATTTCGCACTAGTAGCGTTGATATAAGTAATACATCTATAACGCTATTCTTAACCTCTATATATAAGCATAGCTATTTAATAGCTAAAGTACTTAAGAGGTAGCTTATACATAGCTTGTTCTACTGTTGGAAGCCAATTCGTAATACTCGGTGTTCCATTTATCGGAATTATTAAGGTGCGCTAAAATGTTAATAACATAACGTCAAGTGATATAGGTTGACTGTGATACCAATTCATGGTGAATTTTGTCATGCTTTGTGTACTATATTATTGAAAAGGTTAAAACAGAAACTATTGCTCCAAGTTTGCAATGCTATGATTAGTTTCTCACCCTAAATCTTCCGAATAGCAACCTACCACTGTCTGTTCAGGCTGTCTTGCCAGCGATGCTTCGCCTTTTTCTATATCAAGCTCTTCTAAGCCCTTAATGGCTGATACATTTTCCATTCCACTGCTGTTCTGATCATTTCGTGGTTGGTTCGAAATCATTCCATGTCTTGGATCCTCCGAGACATTGATCTTGCCCACATATTCTTGTTTCATAGTTGCGTGTTTCATAGATGCATTGCTGATGGATACGTCTGCAGATATAGAGTCTAGAATATGGCTGCGGTTCCTCGCTTTCGTAAAGCGTTGACGGGCGCGCTGTGCAGATGCGAAGACGTAGTTTCTATTACTCCGGTTTGCTGGATGAGGTCCTCGAATGGCCCAGAACGATCTGTGGAATACTAATGGCTCAGCGGGGGATGCAAAGTAAGGGCTATGAAAGCTTACGAGGTTGCAGACAGGCACTGTTAACAGCAACAATGGCGATGCAGAACTCTCGTATACCCCAGCGCGCAATATTAAGAACAAATATGTTGGGTACGACAGTGAGTGATACACGAGTTATACTTCCAACCTAATGGTAAGCCTTGCTTTTGCATGAAGATCAAAGCATAATCACTCACCATGCTGCGAGAACGAAGAGACCAGAGGCCAAAAGGACAAAAATACTAAGCCGACTGGGTATATAAGGATCTAGTCGCATTGAGAAAGAAACAAGGCCACATACATATACAGAGGCTTGCTTAACTGCCAAAGAAGCGGAACCGGTATACTAAGCAACTTAGATGTGTTAGTATGGGTACTGATTGGCGGTGATCAATGGACCTACAAAAATATCTGTCGTAGCGTTAAGACAGCTTGCAAGAATGAGTATTTTCGGTGACGCGGTGCATACCAGAGGTGGATGTGGAACTAACTGCCATCTTTGGTGGTATGGCAGGCATGAGAGGCTCAAAGCCAGTGTGGTGGCCGTGAATCCTGACAAGCATAGACATATAGTGAACCGTAGCATGTACACTTGCCAGAGCTCCAGGAATATTCGCCGGTAGAGCATTACGACGACACCTTTGAGACTAAAGATTAGAACGATGCTTATTCTTGGTTAATATCTTTACAGTAATGCGATAGTATTATACTTACTAGGCGTACCAAGAGCCTAGGAAGAGTTTGCTTGAAAACTCTACTTCTGCAAACTTGTCATCGTCGAATAGAGCTATCTCAGCTGCAGAGTAGTCGGCATTCGTTCCAGTGTGATACATTATTTCTGTTACGGCGCACGTGTAGGTCCAGGCGAACAGTGCAATGAACGCGAAGCCATCATCAAGTTGCAGCCCCGTTACTCCAACAGTACGAAGGCGCACTGCGAACCTAATAACAAGCCATAATGCACCAACTGAGTAAAGACTCCAAACCTCTGGTAGGAACTTTTCATCGCGCGCGGGTGCCATACCGGCAAGCTTTTGTTGTGGTGTGCCAAAGTTGGTGATTATCACAGATCTAAACGGCAGTTCTCGCGGGCGTGAGTCAAAACATCACCACTGATAACGATATAAATGGTTGCATCCATCTTTAAAAGACTAAGAGTTTCGGATTTGTTTGTTTGCTCGCGCGAAGAGGGGGTAGGTTTGGTCTTTGAAGCCCGTCCAAACTTTATTCTTGAGCATACTCGCATTCGCATCTATGAGTAGAATACTTCCGACGCTTCCAATTCGTCCATTTCGAGCGTGGGATTCACCTATCCTTTGCCTTCCGGGAAACGCCATTGGATTTATGCTTGTTCCAAGTTCCGAAAATCTATCGAATCTTGCATGTTGCACGGAAACCTTCACAATCCTGGACAATTTGGTAACGAATCGGAGTTCCCGGAGTTGGCCCCAATGACCATGTGTGGCTGACCGAAATCGCGGGCTCTGAACGCCCATCTCCGCTCAGCTGGAAGCCGCTCGCTTCCTGATAAAAGGCGCATTCTTCGGAGCCCCTCGTTATTTCCTGATCAGGCAACTTAGTCGGGCTGATTTCCAATCATGCCGCAGCTAATTCGCTTCTAGATAGCATACATGTGCTTTTATCTTAGGGTGTAGCGCTTCTTCCTATCTATATCATCCCAATGCTTTCTTTTGGTAGTATTCATCGCGTCACTATATCTCTTTTAGTACTCTTCATACCAGAAGTTTGTGCTTTATTTATTTTTTGGTTTCTTAGGATAACGTATTGTTGCGTCAAAATATTGACGAGGCTACGCTGGTTTGCAAAGCGGCCTAGGGCTTTCTAATGAAGGCTTGCAACCCCTTAGTTGACGACCTCTATAAATTCAAGAAGTACTCGTCAACAAACTTCTCAGCTTCGATTTATTAGCTTTTAACTCAAAAATGCCGCTAATCTACCTAGTACTTACCAACGAGAGCCTAGGCGGCCTCAGGCTCGGCAGCGGGAGCATCAATGGCGATGGCAACAAGAGGAGCGATAGTAGCGAAAAAGTTCATGTTTACGTCGTATCGTTAAGCTTTAGACTTCTTCAAGTCACGGAGTCCTTAATAATGTTATAATGCTGTGATACTCTGAGCTGTGGGATTTTGTGCAATGTTGGCGAATTTTATAGTACTTATATTTCATTTCAAAGAGGCCGGGTGCACGATAGAACCCCATGCTCGATCCTTGGCCGGTATTTCCGGACTGAGTTCCGAGCTGCGCTTTCGATTTAGTTGCGAACGCATGTATTGCCACCTGTTATGTTACAAATGCTCAAGACCACATGATTATTTGATCTTTTTTCCCGATCATGTCTCAGTTATAGCGCAACTTTCTCCAGTTGTAGGCGTTGATATCCATTTAGTTTTGTAGACTAGTGTTCTTTGTAAGCATATATCACAGATGGCCTAGCTGAACCGAGCCTTTACTAGTATGTGCATCTATTGCTGGCTAATATGGTCGTAGCTTTACGTGGTTCCGCATTCCCCGAGATAGCCTGCAAGATCTTTGCAATGCGGTTAGGCCCGTGATCAGCAACACCTCGCTTGCGGACAGTCAATACGCGGCTTCATGTCCTCACTTGGACAATTCTCTAGTTTTAACGATGTTGATCTAGGTAAAATTCTTGTTAGGAGAGACACCTTGATTTGAGGGGTTGGGCTATGTTGCGTTTCGTCGATATACAGTCACTCTGTTTTGAATTTCATACTACTCTCGCTTTTTATTGCAACCAATCTCCTGCATAATATCTGGCCATCGGTTAAGAACTCGGGAAACGAATTTCGGTTCTTTTATAGCGAACCCAGCCGTAAATCTTTCAAGATACGTACAATGCAATCATATTGACCTCTCAAAGCATCCGAAACCGAGCATATCGTCGCAAAGGTGAGAAAATCGTGTCATGGGATACAGCTACGTGCTTATTTTGGTGCAGCAGACTCCGATGGATGACGATGCTGACGTTCTTCAAAACCCTAGCCTTGGAAATGTTCAGTTTGAGAAGCTCAAATAGCGCATGAGAATCAATTTGCTGCTTTTCCTGTTCTCATTTGCTTCCATAGTTGCTAGTGTTGTCTTTTTCCAAGAGTATCTTTAAAATACTGGAGCACGGATAGTAACGATCACTTCGGTAGGTATTTCAACCAAGAATCGAAATTGGTCAGACGGACATGTTTACCCGATTCTTCCTTAGAACCAGTACGTTAGTATTTTGACCCGCATTTTATTACAAAAATCGTAAACGGAACAATTTTGATGTGCCCATGAAATTACTTCGCGGCCCTCCTTCATCAAAGACGAACGAGTCGTGGCACCTACTTTCCGAGGTATACTCCTGAGGCATCAGCAAGGAGGACCTCTTGAAGCCCGGCAAGAACCCAGAAAATACGGTCGAAACTGATCCCAAATTGGGTTCTGGTGACGACAAGTACAGCTGACTGGGTGTTACTCAGGGCCCTTTGATCTTCCTTCTTTACTAATAACCCACATATCAAACCTTCATTTCAGCGTAAATCTTCAAGTACAATATCAACGAATAAGTCATCGGCATCGGAACCTTTGCAAGGGTTACAGCTCATCCTCCCACTCTCTTTCCTCTGAAAAGTGGGAAATCGTCACATTATTCGCTGTCAGCATTGCGAAAATATAAAGCGAGAATTTCCTAGCGGTGCTAATTCTGCTGATCGTGATTGAATGCAACATATACCTTTTGCCAAAGTGCTGAAGACACCTGTGTACTTCCGCATTCTTAGTATCCTCTCTCTCGTTCTAATCCTTCCTTTAACATATCACTCTCGAATTAAGACTCAATATCGTATACATTCGCGTATCTCCGCATCAAAACTCCTCAATGCATTCCGTTGCCAGCATCATCAAACCTCCGTCCGTTCATATTCAACTGCCCTGCTGAATCAAGCATAACCTTTAGTAGGTATGAAGAATATGAGCGCCTGACACACATCTGCGATCCGCTCTGGGACGATCCAATCCCCTAAAATGGTGGGTTTTTGATTCTTCCATCTGCAAATGGCGAGTTGGATCAATACGATATCAGCATTTTCCACCAGCTGCACTGCCTCGCCATGATCCAAAGCATTGTGCAAGGGCTGAAAGAAGATACAAATCCCGCACACATCCACATGCGTCACGACCATGGACACAGAGGCCCTAGGTCTGGAATAGGCAATAAGCATTGGCAACATTGCTTCGATTATCTACGTCAAGTGAGGCCATTTGTGCTTGGCTTTGTTCCATCTTGTGGCCGGTGGCCGCTAACGCCGCCCTTAGATAATCCTTTGCAATGATGACCCCGCCATTGAAGAACCAAGGATTAATTCGACTGGGACAAAATTCATCGATGTAATAGTAAAGCGTCAATTTTGTGATCACATTACTCTCTTCACGGCGAGTGTCGAGTCTTTTCGATACGCCAATGAAGAGATTCGGACTGGTAAAAGGAAATTTGCGTATCACGATTGATTGAAAACTCGTATATAAACATATCAAACCAACTACAATTCGTTGGTACCGCTACAAGCTCTCCAGAATTCGCAGTATGTCTCCTTGTGTTATGTCCAGGTTGTATGTCTTTGTTGCATTTTTGCAAAATGCTGCTAGTGTCCATTTAATCTCATCAAATGTTGTTTTTGCAGCTTCTCCGACGTTAGACATCCGCTCGATGCACGAAAGAGCAAAGAATGCTCCTGCTATATATATGAGTAATAAAGCCAGTGAAAAAGTATGTATTGTTTGTATCAACCGGTAGCTGAGTCCTGAGGCGTGCTCCTGAATGCGATTTTTGACCCAGGGCTAGGCCAAAATGAGATGTTCACACTGTGATGGATACGCCTTGTTGATGTTGGCTATAATAGAGGCGCAGGTACCAGAGTTGGATCACTCAAGTGCAAAACATGGATAGTCCATTTCATTTAAGGACCCACAGATCGCACACTTCATCATGCCGCATCTATCGATAGAGCAAACTGCCTTTTGTTCAGCCTTGTAAATTCGCCCCCACACTCCATCTGCAGCTTAACCTCTTTCAGTTTATGCGCTGAGGGGAATGACTCGCGCTCGTGTTGCATGTCATATCACATGGTATCTGCCAATCAGCATGGAGTGAAACATGAGGCTTAGATATGCACACAGTATTGGATCATGCTTGGCATTAATACATGTAAATAGCCATGCAGCCGTCAGGCTGAAACTGACTTGAATGTCACTCGTTTCCTACCTCCACGGTTTATCGTATTTACTAAATTTCTTTCTGTACAAGATACCGCATTATGACGAGGACGGTGCGAACGTTGTTCCTCATCCTCTTCTTTCAAGTCACTGTAACAGCAGCCGCCGGCGAAACGGGAAGCGACCGAATTGGGACCGGCCAATGCCCCGACAATGTTGAATTTATCATGGCCTATTCGCCATTCAAACCGTACTGGAAGTTTGATAAGTTCAAAAATGACGTACAAAGTTGCTGGACCGCAGCAGATTGTCTCTTCGAGTCCTGTGGTGAAAGCCGGAAGCAACAGTTTGCAGCCACTGCATTGGTCATGGGGCTCATACCGTTGACTTTAAAGGACGTTGCATGGCCAGAGCGCCGTATTGTACACGTCACCAAGCCTCTGCCATGGCTGTGTGACATTCTAGTCCTGGCTTTGGGTCTTGTACCACTACCGGCCGAAAAAGGAGCCCTTCTATCGACTCATCAGAGAAACGAAGAAAGTAATGGCTTGGCAGGATACGCGTGGGATATGAGAAGGTCAACCATACGCTTTATGGTAGTCACACTTGCTGTGTGCCTCTTGGCCTGCTATGCAGCGTTGGTATTCAACGAAATATACAGCAAAAGATCTGCGCTCGGTTGCGTTGTTCCTTTCTTCATCACCGCCTGGTATGTCGTCGCTCTACTTCCAGCATCAATCCACAGAGCCTTTGCGGGACGGAGACAAGCACGGATCAAGAGGCTGGATCAAGAAAGAGGAGCTCACATTGGAGTTCGACCTGACGACGTTCATTTGGTTCCACTCCAAGTACACGAGAGTCGACCAGCAGTTGCGAAGAATACAACGATTACCGTAGAATGTAACAAAGGCAAGGTGGTTTCTGCTATTCAGGGAGCGGATGAAGACTGGCCTGTTCAAATGGCTTGGGGTATATATTATATCGCTGGCACTCTAATATTCACGAGTATTATGGCGGTGACTATCATAGAGTTGGTGGTTTGGGTCTTCTTGTGTCTCGCAGTCACTGGTACTAGCAAGGTTCTTGCGTTCTTTATCTGCCTCCTTTTCGAGGAAACAGGTCAAAGAAAGTGAGTGTTGGCTGCTGTTTTGCTGCTCATCATCGTCTAGCCGTAGCCCCGAATCTAAAACTGGCTAAAAGAATAGCAGTCCAGGAGATGTGAACCGAAAGATTGAATATGCCACTTCCGCTTTGAATGTCTGCGCTACATGGGGTTGACCGTGTTCGTCGTTTCGGCTCCTGTTCGCTGCTTGCCTAGCAGCTCCAATTCGCTCAGCCTGGTATCGCTCTATTATTGCATCAGTTTCAGTCAGAGACGCTTTAATGGCTCTAATATGTTGCTACAAGGTATCGTACTCCCTTTAGTCTAAGGATTAGGAAAGCAAGGTACGCTGCATATGATGTTATTGGTAAGTTAATATAGTACACCTTGATGCGGTATAGTCTATTTGGAACAACGCTATATAAGTAGAATACATATAGGATGATTGGATTTATTTAAGCTTCATTAGAAATATAACATATCCAATCAATACTTAATTTTAATTTTGTACTATTTCATCGTCTAATCATTTGAGCATATTAGATGTCAAAGTCTCCAAGTCTCTACCTTCTATACTCCAAGTATATGATCAGGATGTCTGTATTCAGATAAAAGAGAATCAATGCTGTGACTTGGAAACAAAAGAAACAATCATGTCTTTTTTCCAAGGTATATCTAGCGTCTTATTCGCCAGATCGATGGTGAGAGGCGAAGGTTTGCAAAGGCGATCACGTAAGCTTACATGTAAGCCTATCAGTGACACAGTGGACATCTCATTCTTTCTCTGAATAGAAGTTGAGGTACAAAAGGCGTAGGGTTGCAAGAAAAAGCATGTGTTTTTGTGGAGAAAGGTTTAGCTTAGGTAGTGGTGAATTAAGTAGGAGATATAGGAAGAATTGATTGTGATGTAGGGAAGAATAAAGTTACCAGCTTCTGTGCGTTCTCTCATCATATGTCAATAATCATAGTCCATTCGTTGCCATCCGATTGGCTATTTTCGGCATATAGAGCTTTTCGGCACATAGTAACGAACGTTACTTTCCAATAATCTCATGCTAAGAAGGCGGCCATATTTGTAGTAAGTACACTCTTATTAATATAAAAGGTTCATTTCTGATCGACTCTTCTAGTTGGCATCATGACAGTACCTTTAGAAAAGCCAAGATAATTTGGTCCACTTTCCACGCAGTTCTCCCACTACTCCTCTACTACCAGATCTCGGCGCAGAGTGAACCCGACCCGCATCCTACTGAATAGTACCACGACATGCCTGCGGTTCCACCCAGTATTAAAGTAATAACGCACCCATGCGCTGCCGACCTTTCACACGAAAACAACTTCAAACAGGACGGCGGAACCTTCTACTGCTACCCATTTGCCTTGGTCAGCGAGCGATCGCCATTCTGCCGCTCGTATCAGCTCTATGTGTATGCAGTAATGAACGTCCGTGATACATGGATGATTTATATGACATGACAGCTACATTCCACTAAAGGGATGTGTTCCAGCACAGGGAACTGGATGCATAACGATTGATGATGGTGTTGCTACGACTATATACGAATACGGTAGGGGATAGGAGTGTTGGTAACGGAAGTTGAAGCTGGAAAACGTATTGCTGTTGTTTAGACATCAACGCAAGAGACCTCGCGAATACCATTGCAAAAGCTTGCTTAAAGGTCACAAAGTGGCTAGTGTCTGTATCAACATGACCCCGTCAAAATAATACAATAGCCCTATACTCTAAAGGAAATGAGGTGGTTTGATCCATGACTTTCGGATATAAACAATAGGTGCATCTAGGTATTCGAGATGATTTTATGATTTCATATGTTTCTCTTTGATGCCAAAATCAATCTTGTGCATACGAAGAAATATGTGCTGTTGCATACTAGACCGGGTCCAGGACTATAATAGCGCCAAAGCATATTACAAATCACCCAACAAGCATCAGATTGATACATAGGCTCTTTGGTGTTGCTTGTGGACTGGCTGAATATCCCACAGCCCTTAGCCACTAATCACTTTAAATACATAACTAATACCTTAGATATAAACAGAGTTTCCTACGGAAGGTGGCTGATCGTCACGAACAAATCATCCTCTGAGTCCAAAAGGTGTGAATTGATCAGCTCATACTTGTGATGACTGTTGAAGCTGGCACAATGCGACAGCATATCCCTCTCACAAAGTAGAGAAAGTTCTACTATGGACAACGTGTCTGAAGGTGCCTGCACAGATTCACACAACTTCTTGCTCTTGTGAACTACCGGAATGTGATCGAGACAACAACATTGTTACTAGTACATTGTGAAGGGGAGAGCTGACCATAGTCGCCACACTAAAAATCATGAAATTTCTTCTCTTCTCTGGGCTTACTATAAGAAGGAAATATTTTTCCTGTGCTCGATGCTTCCCCCACATAGCAACAGACATCAACCCAAAAGCATTTCCAGTCTTGGATCCAACTACCAGCTTCCCTTCTTCGACCATGGATGCATGGGCCCTCATAATGGTACTCGTCCTCATGATGTTTGTGATAGCAGGGCTAGTAACCTACTTTGGCTACCATCAGTACAAGCGGCAGTTCTTCCCGAGCTATGACGAGGAACGCATGCAACATACTAAAGAAAACGAACAAGCCAAAAGCGAAAGTTTCGAACTCCGGGAAATTGGGCATCCGAAAAGTGTACATCCCAGCAGTCGGTCATATGAGCATCTTCACGCTGTACAGGTGAACATGACGCCAATAGCAAATCCAATAGCACCTCGCGTAGATATTGAACACCAGGTTGGAGAAGGCCTAATCGCCCCATCGGAGCGAGTATTCATGACGGCCGAGGTGGTAGACGAGAATAACCGTGGAAGACATAATACTGTCAAGCATGCCCAAGATCAGCGGATGCACGGTGCACTTGGAGCAGGCACAATGCGCAATGTCAACCCAGTGAACCCAGTAGATGTTGATTATGCCGCTGAAGAACCAATCGCTTCAGATATCTGGAACAAGATTAACAATCGCGAAGTACGAGTTCCTCGGCGCAAGCCCCTGCAGAAGACGGCCGTACAGAAGGTTGCGACAATTCGCGCTGTAACACCTGACGCTGCATAGTGCAATGCGCAGGCTCGCAAACTATTGAGCCCGGGACTAGAGAGAAATTGATCTTGTGGATAGAAAGCAATGGAATAGGGAAAGCGGAAAGGAATGCACCACTGTTGTCTAGTGGTAGTAAATGGCATCAGTCTGAAAGCTTGAGTCGTGTGAGCTGGACCTATAGAGGCTATGGAAACCATCTGGGACGGCTTCAGCATCCTGGGAGAGGTAGGTCATATGGTCAAATTCTTGGATAGGACAAATGGTTGCGAATCTAGCTCCGGTGGCATGTCTGAGTTTGGTCGGTAAGATGGAGGGCATTGCCATTGGATAGAAGCCAGACAGAGCTGTAAAGGAGCATAGATTTCATGATATATTTGAGAATGGAATTCAAAGTACCCGGAACATGCGCACAATGGGATTGTGTGAATACATGTACTAGTATGTGGGTTTGAGAGACTGTGGAAGTTTGCACAGCTGTTGTTTGCAGAGGCGGGCGGCATTCGAGAATGTTCTACAGCATTGGAAATAGACTTTGTCATCGCGACGGGGGTGCGGACATGACGATCGAGGATAACAGAGTATAGTACAGAGAGGCGCTGAATGAGGTGAGATGTGCGGAGAGATGTATGGATGCCTATGCAGTTGTATGTGGTATTAACAATGTACATGGAAAGATGGGTAGTAGAGCAGGTGCGAGTTAATGGAATCCAAGTGTCGCGTGGTGCCGAGGTTTTGCCATCGCGGCTATCGGAGGAGGAGCTTGGACGTGCGGTGATGATGTCGAGATTCCGACGTTGCTGATCAATTGATGCGTACATAGACGATACATATGCCGCCACTACCACATCGCCTTTTATATTTGCACATTGTTTAATTATTCCTCTCCTCGCATCAATTCACGTGGCGAGAGCACGTGTGCTGCGTGTTTCCACGCACAATACTCTCATTCTTTGTATACACACATAAGACTTTCCGCCGCCTGGCCGCACTCATAAAACAGACACATCATGCTCCAGACCCAGAACCTGCCGTGGCGGGCAGCCCTCCGCCAGGCATCGCGCTCGAATTGTACAAAACTCACCACCAGATCATCGCCACGATATCTCCCCGCCCAATGCACAGCATCGCTGGTTGCGCGGCCGCTCCACCGATGCCCCTCGCCACCCGCCGCCCTCTTCGCATACCGCAGCTTTTCCACATCGCTGAGCAAGCAAAAGGAAAAAGACCCCAAGATACCACCTGAGCCACTGGACGAGGGCGCAGCCGAAGAGACAGATGAACTGAAGAAGCTCAGGGAGCAGCAGAGAAACCGAGAGGTCGAGGGCAAGAGTGACACGCCAGAGCCAATACCCCCGCGCACCGGCTCCGGGCGAGGCAGCGCAGCAGGCGGAGGCACTGGAGGCAGCGACGGCGGTGATGGCGGCGGCAAGAAGCGAAAGGGCTCCGAACGCGCCCTCGTCAAACCCACGATACCAGACGTCTACCCGCAGGTTATGGCGATACCACTCGTTAAGCGCCCCTTGTTCCCTGGCTTCTACAAGGCCATCACAATCAGAGACAGAGAGGTCGGCCAGGCAATCGCCGACATGGTGAAGCGGGGGCAACCGTACATTGGAGCCTTCATGTTCAAGGATGAGGGCGCTGACAAGGACGTTATCGACGACCCTAACGAGGTCTACAATGTGGGCACATTCTGCCAGGTTACAAGCGCATTCCCTGTGGGTGCCGATGATAACTTCGCCATGACTTGCGTCCTCTACCCACACCGCCGCATAAAGATGACGGGTCTGAAGCCGCCAGCACAAGCCAAGGAGGAGCCATCAGTAGCCGAGAGTACTTTGGACGAAAGCTCTGAAACACCAGAGGCGGATTCAGCTGCGACCCAATCCAAGGGCGATGTCGTTGCCAGCTTCGAGGAGTCCACCGAAGAGACCAAGACGGCCCAAGGCGCCCTGGTCCCCACCATTCTCAAGGGCCGCAAGGTCAGCATCGCCGACGTGAACAACATGGTTGAGGAGCCTTTCGACCTAAGGTCAAACAAGACAATCCAGGTGCTGGTCAACGAGATTGTCAACACTTTCAAGGGTGTCGCACTCTTAAACCCACTGTTCCGAGACCATGTCTCGACCTTCTCTGTACATACTACCATGAATGTTGGCGAGGACCCCGTCAAGCTGGCCGATTTTGCAGCTGCTGTAGCACAAGCCGAGTCACACGAGCTGCAAGACGCGCTCGAGGAGATGGACATTGAAAAGCGGCTGAGCAAAGCGCTGGAGCTTCTGAAGAAGGAACTCATCAGCGCGGAACTGCAAAAGAAGGTCGCAGACGATGTCAACGCCCGAGTTACGAAGAAGCATCGCGAATACATGCTGATGGAGCAAATGAAAGGCATCAAACGTGAGCTCGGCATTGAGTCTGACGGCAAAGACAAACTGATTGAGAAGTTCAACGAAAAGGCCAACAAGCTGGCTATGCCCGAAGCCGTGCGCAAGGTCTTCGAGGAGGAGATGAGCAAGCTGCAAGGCCTCGAGCCCAACGGATCAGAGTTTAATGTAACCCGCAACTACCTTGACTGGCTCACACAGCTTCCTTGGGGTTTACGTAGCGCCGAAAACTTTGGTATTCAACATGCACGCGAAGTCTTGGATGAAGACCACCATGGTCTAAAAGACGTAAAGGACCGCATCTTGGAGTTCATCGCTGTCGGAAAACTGCGCGGCACTGTTGAAGGTAAGATCCTTTGTTTGGTTGGGCCGCCAGGTGTGGGCAAAACATCTATCGGAAAGTCAATTGCTCGTGCTTTGAACCGCCAGTACTACCGCTTCAGTGTCGGTGGTATGTACGATGTGGCAGAAATCAAAGGTCACCGCAGAACATATGTTGGTGCACTACCTGGACGTATCATTCAGGCTCTCAAGAAATGCCAAACTGAAAACCCACTCGTCTTAATTGATGAAGTCGACAAGATTGGCCGGAACAGTAACCATGGTGACCCAGCATCTGCCCTTCTCGAGCTACTTGACCCAGAGCAAAACAACAGCTTCCTAGACCATTACCTGGACGTGCCTGTCGATCTATCCAAAGTCCTTTTTGTGTGTACAGCCAATATGGACGAGACCATCCCGCAACCACTGCTTGACCGTATGGAGGTAATACGGCTTTCGGGCTATGTTTCCGACGAGAAGATTGCAATCGCTGAGAAGTACTTGTCTCCTGCGGCCAAGGAAATGAGTGGTTTGAAGGATGCCGACGTTGTGCTTGAGAAAGACGCAATTGTCGAGCTCATCAACAAATACTGCCGTGAGTCGGGTGTGCGAAATCTCAAGAAGCATATCGAAAAGGTCTACCGGAAGTCTGCCTTGAAGATTGTCACTGATGTGGGCGAGGAGGCCCTTCCAGAAGCCGCAGCTTTGACTGAAGAGGGCAAGGCTGCGCAACAGGAATCAAACAAGAACGAGAACGACCCCAAGGAGACCCCAAAGAACATCGAGGAGCAGACTACCGAAAAGCCCCGTGTGGCTCTCAAGGTACCAGATTCAGTACATGTCTCAATCACCAAGGACAATCTCAAGGACTACGTCGGCCCACCAATTTTTACCTCTGACCGCCTATACGACTTTACGCCACCTGGTGTAGCCATGGGTCTAGCATGGACCTCCATGGGTGGCTCTGCGCTCTACATTGAATCCATCCTGCAAAATGCGCTGTCCGCTTCGTCATCACCTGGTCTCGAGCGCAGTGGATCCCTCCGAGATGTTATGAAGGAGTCGACTGGGGTTGCCTACTCATTCGCAAAGAGCATCATGGCTCGCGATTTCCCAAAGAACAGATTCTTCGAGCATGCTAGGATACACTTGCATTGCCCCGAGGGCGGTACGCCCAAAGATGGGCCAAGCGCTGGTATCACAATGGCCACCAGCTTGCTCAGCTTAGCGCTCAACAAAAAGATTAGAGACGATGTTGCTATGACTGGCGAGCTTACTCTTACTGGAAAAGTGCTGAGAATTGGTGGACTACGCGAAAAGACTGTTGCAGCACGAAGGGCAGGTGCAAAAACAGTGATTTTCCCACACGACAATATGAGTGATTGGCTGGAACTACCGGAGGTACGTGTCATGTTTTATCTACATTAGGAGAGCGTGATTGGCTGACTTGCGAACAGAACATTAAAGAAGGCATCGAGGGCCGCCCCGTGTCATGGTACCGGGAAGTGTTTGACATTGTGTTCCCCGATCTCGACAAGGAAGCCGCCAACAAGATGTGGGAGAAGGAACTAAAGTCCAAGAAGGGTGACCGTAAGAAGCGTGAGCAAAAGAGGAAAGAGGAGGAGGAGGAAGAGTCTGGCGATGACGACGACTAAGCTAGACTCCTAGATGTAAGATATGTACAGTGAATACGAAAGATATGGGGTTGTAGTAACGCAAGCGCATTCTAGGCGTTTTTAATGATGCTGTTTAGCAAAGCATTGGGCTATGAAGAATACGGGGCGGCTCCGAGATCGACTGCAACTTGGGTAATGAAGCGATGAATGAAATTCTCTTCTCTACATCAATGCCAAGTGGGCTCCAATCGTTGTGTTGTCTTTCTTTTATGCAAAAGAGAATGGATGACGTTTTGCTATGATTTTGCTAGAAACACGGGCGAGGGAAGAAGAAGAGAAGGCGGGTCGGTCCGTTACCCGGTACGTTTCCGTAAATGTACAAGGCGTACCTTTTTTTCGCACAATGCTGCGACAGGCAATATCGCTGTTTGTCAACCTCGCGAATCTAGTCTTGGTGGAACGAAGATGAAGCGGTTTGAATTTTCCAACAAAAGATTTTATATACGATATTGCGCGCCAGCCGCCGCATAGTGCATACTTGTAACATCTTATCCCACATGCAACTACACGTTGGCCCTCTATAGACCTACCATTGGTTTGATTTATTCTTGTACTGTCCATCACCGCACAAGCCACATCGGATGTCTATCTGTTTTGGATTTGTGCGTTGGTTCGCACGGCTTCCTTTGCTCTCTTGTTATGAGACTGCGTGGCATACCGTGGCGTGGCGTGGCGTGGCGTGGCCCTGTATGCTGCAAGTGTAATGTGTTGCGTGGGCATGAACCATATTGACGTGTCAGGAGGGATGATGCGGACACACGGCAGGTAAGCTGGCAGCCGGGCAGATTGCACGAGGGAGTGTGATGGGAAGAGACAACGCATACTCTGCGAACTAGAGGGCACGAATCAAGGTTGGCAATCTCTCGATCTTTGGTCTCTGGTCGATACGAGGTAGAGGGACGTTGTCATAGGCGGCGGAGATTTGTGCTTGTAGTGATGATGTACTATGAACAAGGTTGCCGTCATTTTGTTCAGAGGTGAGCTATGAAGAGAGAAATTGCACGATTTTTTTGTTGGGGCGCAGCGTGGCATATTTATTGCATGTGAATACACGTACATATACTGTGTGTGTATATATATAGGTATATTAGACACCGATAAGACTGCTGAGGAACCAATGCAGCAGGAGACGCCGGTGGAAAGCTGTAATACTTACTAGAAGGAAGGAAAAAAAGTGAGATTAACACATCCCTGTACCTGCTTTTGCGCAAGCATCCTGAAACTGCCGTTGAGAAGTTTGCTCGCAAGAACGGAGCTATCTAGGCACCTTTGGCGAGTTGTCCCGTCTTTCCACGTCCGGTTGACTCGAGAGGCAGCGAAAACGGTTGGCTCTGCGTCCTGTTGGGTGGGGAGCAAGGGCAGTTGCATGCAGAGTTTCCAGTCAGCATCGAGGGACGATTCCGCGAAGACCTCGAGGTGCAGTAGTCTGGCCCTCGTCTCTGCTTGGGCTAATGTATGCAGGCCCGAAAGAGGGGTTTTTTGCTGCTATGCCAATGTGAAGGATTAATGAGGGGGCGGGATGGCGCCAGAGGGGTAGTGATCCGTGAAGGCTCTTCAACGCAGATTCTGGTAGCAGCCGGCTTGTCATATGCATCCAGAGAGAGGTGCCGGAGAGTCAGGGCGTGAGTGACGTTGATGCCAAAAAGCCAAACCGTGTGTCACTCTCACCGCAGGTTGGTGTAGTTGGCTGCCACACGCACGACAGAGGCCAATCAGGCACCGAGTCGGCGGTACCAGGCGGCTTTTCTTTGCCTCACCAGCGCTTGATTTGACCAAAATGTACCCGAATTCGGACTTTTGCTGGCTGCCTGTCTGCCTGCGTGCTGCGCATCCTGCAGGCTGAAAAAGGCCCTCTTTTTTTGTGCTGTGGCCCAATGGCCGGAACAGGCGCTTGACCGCCAGCTGTCTAACGACAATGACAGCAACCCCCAAAACGGTGCTATGCTGCTGCGCACTTTTGCTGCTGAAATCCGCCCTCACTTTTTTTCCCTCGCCCCCCCCTTCGCCCCCTTCAGCCTGTCCCCCACCTTGGTGTAACTCTGATTACATTGGTACCGGTACTGCAGGCTTGTGCGAGGTGCCAATAGATTGGCCCTGGGGTATTTGATTTGCTGAGTCGGTCGGGATACGCTAACGTGGTGGTGTTGCTAAGCCGGCTCGACGGAGAAAGTCGCGCCCTCAGTCCGCATTCATTGGCTGCCACCAGCCCAGCCTTCTGTCGCGCACTCATCCCAACTCACATCAGACTCATCGAGCACGTCGCATTCATCGCTGCCTGCCCTCCCCTTTCCCGCCCTTCCCCAGCCCCCTTCGACGATCGACGACTGCCTGTCCGCCTGCCCTCGACAGCCCCATTGACCCTCGCCCGTCGCTGGAGATTCCGTCCGTCGTCCGCCTGCCTTTGATTAAGGTTAGGCGCCAACCCGCTCCCTGGCATGTCGCTTGGGCGGCAATAAAACACCTATCGGTCTTTCCTGTCTGTCATTTGCACGTTGGGACTGCCGAGATTGAGTTGCAGAGATTAGCACCAAGGGAAGAAAAAAATAAAGAAACAAACAAAGGAAAAGAAAAAAGTCTAGGGTAGAGAGGGGCAAATGCGCCATCGCAGCATCGAGGCACAGAGCAGGAACTAGGTTGGTGGACGCAGGAAGCCACAGTGGCACATGATCGCGACACAGCATGCAGCTGGCGCCAAACCCATAGCACAATTTTAATCCATCCGATCCGACCTGCCAATTTCCTCGCCGCGCGAATAGAAGGCCTGCCACCGCCTGTCTGAGTCACTTGGTCCTCGACACACCGCGAAGGCAACCACCCGACCATCAGACGGCTGGCAACGAGCCGACACACCACCCACACGGCGCTGCACAGCGTGGGACGTGTGCGAGAGCCGTTGTGAGAAGAAGATGCCATTGCCATCAGCGGACAATGGCGAGACGAGCAGCAGCCGCAGTAGGCAGAGGGCGCGCGCAGAAGTCAGCAAGCACAGGAGCATGTGGGATCACCTGAGCTTTCAAAAGATTGGCGCCTGGCTGAAGAAGGAGGAGCAGGAACCGCCGCCATCGTCGACCAAAGCCCCGAAGCCCGCCGAAGAGAAGAACAAGGAGCCCACACGACCGCATTCGAGTGCTGGTTTGCTGGGACGCAGAGGCAGCAAGAAGGTTATTCCAGGGCTGCCTAGACCCTTGACGTTCAAGCGGATGCAGAGTGAAAAGAGGGATAAACTGCTCGAGGTCCCCGTTCCGGGCGAACACAGGAGAGCTGCCTCGGTCGACCGCCAGAGCTCAGCTCCCTCAAAACGGGACATTTCGCCACCTCCCCTTTCCGCCCCTTCCATGTCAGCGCCTAACGTCCTGAGTTTGTGTGAAAGCCATGTGAAGGAAGAGCCGCACCCCGTCATGGAAGAGCGTACTATAGGTGGAGGTCCGGATTCGAATCTCCCACCCGGCGCACGTCAGGTCGACTATGGCGTCGAGGAACCCGAAGACTACATGTCTGCAGGCGCTTCTGTTGGGGAACTGATGCTGCCTCCTCCCCCTCCCCCTCCCCCTCCGCAACCGTCACAATCTCCACCTCCACCTCCCGCATCACTACCGCCACCACCACCTGTTGAAGTAGTGGACACCTTTTCCGAGCATAGCTCACATCACTCAGGGTCCGTCATTGATGATATCCGGTTGCAGGAAGAGTTGGAAGCAAAATGGATTTTGAACCTGAGCATGCACTTCCGGGACATGTCAGACCGCGAAAAGTTCTTTGTGACATTTGCCGAGGAGCCAAACAGATGGAGAAGGGTCACAGTGTCCTGCGACTACCGCAACATGGAGCCAGACTCACTTGAGGCAGATCTCAAGTCTCTCCACTACCAGCGTGACAAGAGTTCGCGTATTTATGAGGCCATCCGCGATTCTCTGCCAGCTATACAGTTCTACGACACTGTGACAAACCTGAAACTGGAAACAACAGATGGTCGCCTCCATGTTCACGTCACAGAGGATGTGAACGAAATCATTCCGTATCCGGCTGTTTCGGCGATTGTGCATCTGGATTGCAAGCGATTTCGTGAAGACGCGATTGCTTTTGACTCCCACATTTCTGGCTTTGTCTACAAAGTCTCGGTTGACAACCGGACACTGATCAAGAAGGAAATTCCTGGGCCAGACGCGGTCGAAGAATTCCTTTACGAGATCAATGCGCTTGTGAGCGTACAAAACTCCAAGTCTGTCATCAAGTTCGAAGGCGTTATTGTCGATCAACGAAACGAGCTCATCAAGGGACTCCTGATTAGCTATGCTGAACAAGGTGCACTGGTCGATATGATTTACGACTTCAAGACGACAAGTCATCTTTACTGGGAGCGCCGGGAGCGATGGGCACGGCAGATCATTCAGGGTCTTTCAGAGATTCATGAAGCTGGCTTCGTACAAGGAGATTTCACCCTGTCCAACATTGTCATTGACAATGATGACAACGCCAAAATCATCGATATCAACCGTCGCGGCTGCCCAGTTGGATGGGAGCCACCGGAACTTGCCAAGCTCATAGAGAGTGGACAGCGTATATCGATATACATTGGTGTCAAGTCTGATCTATTTCAGCTTGGTATGGTGCTTTGGGCATTAGCAGAACAGCAAGATGAACCTGAGCGCCAGCAGCGACCGTTGACCCGCACACTGGATCGACGCGATACTGACATCCCACCTTACTTCCGTGACATCATTCGAGCATGCTTGAGCGAGTCACCCCAGTCCAGACCGTCAGCTGCAAACCTGCTTAAGCGGTTCCCCGAAAATACCCTAGAAGTCGACTTCAAGCCAAGGGCTACCGTGAGAGACAGCATCTCCACGCATAGGAGCGACAAGGAATACATCGATCCTAGGACAGCTGTAGACCTGGAGGATATTTCCAACCATCGTCGCCAGTCGAGGCAACAGTCATTCTTCGAAGAGGTCCATGTCCCCCGCACAGAGTACCCCGAATCTTCCGGCTCCTACATCATACCCAACGAACGCTCTCAGCGCGGTCGTTCCCCACATCCTCTCAGTATCAGCGACAGAAATAGGCGAAGTGACTGCTCACGCTCGCCCTATCCTGGCCATCGATCCGTCATGTCGTTAGATGACTCAGAGCTCGAAAACGAGCTTGCAAGCCTACCGGCTAGCAGGGAAACAAGATGGGAGCAAGTCTACGTGGATGGCGATACTAAGCTTGTTCAAAGAGCTTGTGGCGACCTTGACGTGCATGAGTTTGCAACGCAGGAGCCGAAAGACATTCGCTTTGCGAGTCCACCAGGCGAGATGGAGGATTCATTCATAGGCAGTAAGACTTCCGAAGAAACCCCACTGGGCTTATCGATGGGAAGTGGACTCCAGCCTATTGAGTCGCAGTCGATGAGAAACAGCCTGCAGGGATCGTCTGAAAAAGGACAATCTCACGGTAGCGGCAATGATGCCTCATTTAGTGAGCGGGTGCACCATCTTGCACAATCATGGCCGCAGCCATCACACACACCCCCAGAACCTGCTGAAACTCCAGATTACTATTATGACAGCCAACAACCGCAAAAGCCCGACTCTACCACCCTGGCCGGCCTCGAGTACGATGTTGCCATGGATTCCTCGGCACCCAGCACGGAACCTCCATCGCGGACCAGCACGGGATTCTCGATATTCGATCGACCAGAACCCCTATCAAGACGAGTGCGAACAAGTCTTCCGGCGTCACAAGGATACCGCATGCCTTTGCATCAAGATTCGGGGTTCGGGGAACCAGAGCGGGTGTCGTATGAGAGCGAACGGATACGGCATAGCCTTGATGGGAGTATCAAAGACTTGCAGTTTTCATCGGACGAGGAAGCACGAATCGATGAGAGGCTCTGGGACGAGAAGGATGGCACCCTGTTCGGTGAAAGTGTCCGTGGTACTGAATCGGAGATCAAACCTCAGGCGATATCCATTTTCACCACCCCAGCATCGCCCCACAAAGAAGAGAAGCAAGTTGTAACGTCTGTGCCTCGGCAGTCGATACCAAGCGTTGGACCCAAAAACATAGTCCGCGTCGCTGATGTTGAGAACAAGGCTTTGGGGGAAAAGACGTCGGATACTACGATCCGTCCGCCCAGCATCGCCGCACTAGATTCCCATCAAAGTATCTCCAAGCCAGTCGACTCCATGGAGGTTGTATCCAGCGATGTCACATGTACAAGCAAGGGTACAAAGGCGAAAACAGAGACGAAGACGAAGAAGATTACATTCAACACTGGCTCAGCAAAAGACACAACACAATCCCGCACACGAGCTGGAAAATCACACCGCGATCCACTTGTCAACGATTATTTCTCCGCAACCGAGGACTCCGACAACGATGACAATGATGGTGGTAGGAAAGCGTCAAATGATTTGTCAGACTACCTTTCTCACTCCATTTCCTTTGATCAGTCTATTGATTTTTACATGCGCGAACACGAGAAGACACGGGTCGGTTCGCGAGGACCAAAAGTTTGAAAATTGCTGTTAGGATCGTTTTTTACCCCCTCCTCTTCATGCCTTCCTCCAACTCCTCTTCTTCTTTTTACCCCCAATTCAAAGGACCAAATGATCACGCTGTATTACTCTGAAGTTTTATCTTCCATTCGCTTCTTTTTTTCTTTCTTGGTCTTTGTTCTTTGATACCTTTTCTGCCCCACGTTCTTCTTATTTGATATCACCCAAATTATTAGTCTCGCGACATCTTCTTTTCCTTTCTTCTTTTTCTTTCCTTTGCCTAAATAGCTTTTGGTTTAATATACATGCATCTTCAATTCTCTGCTCTTGTCTTTCCTTTTTATTTTATGCTAGCCCCTTTTTGCTATATCTCATGGTACTTTGATGCCTCTTTTCACGAATGATATGTACGACTTTATTTTGCCTCATGATGCGGCCAGTATGTCATCTTCTTTCTTTTGCTTCATCGTACGGCGTTGAGCGATTCGGGTCTCTTTTGGGTTGGGTTTAGAGGCGTTTGGTCAGGTGGCTGACGGTCGCTATCCTAGATTGCATCACGTAGCATTCTTAGCGAAATTGCATGTTTTTTTCTTCAAAATGGATTTTTTGCTGATCTTGTACGTGTGTGCGTGAGTTATGTTCACTTGACGTTTGACGTTCATGAAAAGTAGATTATTGAACTACCTTGATGCTATAACTTAGACCACCCATTCGTTAGGGTCATGAAAAACTGCATCTGGAGGTGCTTGAAACTGTTCCGGCAACTCCTTTGCGAAAGCAGGATGATCTGCATCCCACTTCGCTTTCCACTCTAGCAATGAATCGTAACTATTGCATTGATGCTTGTTAGAGAATCTAATGGAGCTATTATGCGATCCCGTCCATACGGTTGGTATTACCCCTATATCAGCTGCACACATCAAGGTCTCACGAATATTGTCTAGACAATGATCTGATGGGATAAGTTAGTACTGTTCTATCACAGCGTCTAGTTTGTTGAACTTTGAATCACGTACTAATATGGCTTACGCGGAACCACTCCGGCACGAGATTATCATCTTCGTATTGGCGGTAGTAGGGTTTGTTGAAGTAGAGGGCTTTTCGGAGCTCATCCTATCGCACCTTAGCAATGCTTTGATAGCGTAAAGGTAGTACTAAACGTACCAAACAATGTAGGTCGTGAAAGGCTTGAACAAACACGATGAATCCTTCTAGTTCAGAATCGCTGCGATATGTTCCTTTTGGGTAATATTTTTGCTCTCTAGGATCAAGACCATGGCTGATACCGACTGTCTTTGGAACGAGAAATCCAACATCGCGAACTCCTAGTTCTAGCCAAGCTCTATCTACTGAGGGGCTTGGTGGAGCTGACCACCTACTTGTCCCATTGACCCTATGCTCGCTGAACTGAGTTAGGATGTGGGATCTGTCAAGTTCAGGATAAAGTCCTTCCACTTAAAAGAGTTAGCCTTCGTAAATTTGAGAAACATAAAAACACATACTTCTAGGCAGGTCCAAGGAGTATGATAGGTAACTCTGGGATCTTATATATCTTGCGGTAAAGACAATTGAAAGTAGATTTGTGAGGATAATCGCGCATACGGCTACCAGCCATGTTTGCTTTTTAAAGCAAGACGGCTTTCTTGATACCTCTTCTTGGTATAAGAGGGCAAATTTCTCGTCTTGCTCTGCGATGTCTGGCAAACCATCGGAAATAGTTGACATAGTCTTGATTAACAATGGATGTTTGGTGGTAGGTTGTGTATGACTTCCTGTACAACAAAGACTGTACAACGTGAATATGGTTTGTAGAGATTAGGAAGTCAAGATTGAACAACATCGAGTTCAACCGTAGTAGGAACGACAGCTAACCTTCTCGTGATGAGACTTGGTATGATGATGCCAATAGTATACTATAGCTCAGTTAGGGATAGATACGGCTTCAAATGCGGATACCTCGTATCAGCTGACGTGGCCTGTACACCCTACAAACAAGGGGAACATCTTGGCCAACCGATCTACAGTCTATACCAGGGTTTGTAACACACATTTGGTGTACTTGGCACTCTAATCGGCAGGAGATAGCTAGTAGGGCCGATGCAGTAGTAGTCCCCGGATCACGAAAGATCAGTAACGAGAAAACAAATTTCATTTGTTTGATTACTACGTAAATCTAATGTGAATTGTTTTTGAACCATTGTACTATGAGAAATAACTTAAGCTCTGTAAGCTGTGGCTTCTCAAATGAACTATAAGGTTGAGGTGATACTGCATTATGCATCAAAGAGAACGCAAAGTTTATTTGATTGTAGCGGCTTTTTAGTAGTGCCAAGGATACGCTAGTAGGGTAAGCTTATCACCTGTGCAGCTTCTTTGGGAAAGATGACCATATACGAGATAGTGATAGGATATTGACGTGTTCTGTTACGGGGTCGTAGGAAACTCCTCATAACACCTTCGGTAGTTATAATAGCAGCATGCTTATGCTAGCTTGTATCCCTTCGTCACGGGCATCCCTAGGTGCGAGAACCGACCAATTAGCTTATTCAAATCACAGACTCCTGCCCCGAACTTGCAAGCTGATTAGTTAGTTCTAGCATGCAAGGATGTCCGCAACGGAGAGATACACGGTAAGAAATTTGACGATGATGATAGCGGTGATGAAACTGTGGTGTGATTTCCAACGTAGATCGAATTGAGTTCTCGGCAGTTCACCTATACGCTCTTACGAGAACCGCATTAAGAGAAGCGGTAGTTAAATTGCAAGAATTTAGTTATAAAGACGTCCCGTAACGAAAGAAATCTCTACACACCACTTTGTACAATCAAAACTTGAGTGTAATCCACAATGCGTTTCTCTACCCTCTTCACTTTCACGAGTCTTTTGGCTTTTTCAGCGGCCATGCCCACTCAGCCATTGACTAGTAGAACTGAAGCTGTGGATTCCAACATCCCGATCAAACGTCAGTACAGCGCCGGCAATAGTCGCCCTCAAGCAGCGGACGTAGACAGCATCCCGATCAAGCGTCAATACAGTGCCGGCAACAGTCGCCCTCAAGCAGCGGATGTGGACAACATTCCTACAAAACGGCAATACAGCGCTGGCAACAGCCGTCCCCAAGCAGCGGACGTGAACAATATTCCGACCAAGCGCCAGTACAGCGCCGGCAACAGTCGTCCCCAAGCAGCGGACGCGGACAACATCCCAACTATTTAGGTGGTTGATCTTGTAAGTGTGAGTAAAAGTTGCCTTGATATTGCATGGTGTGTTCATGAACAAATAGCTAAGCCATATTATCCAGTACAGATGCAGCCTCTTCGTATCTACCTAGCTTTTGTAGCATTGCAACAAAATTTTCCAAGCAGTTCCGCGTTTTCGAGTGCTCTTTGCCCCATACCCTTACCGCTAGCCCGAGCGTTTCTACGTATATTCGTTCCGCCTCGTCGTATTTGCACATATCTCCTAACACCACTGCTAAGCTACCCATTCTAGCCAAAGTACGTGGGTGCTCCTTGCCAAAGACTTTCTCTGCTAGTTCTAGTGACTTTCGCGACATTTTTTCCGCCTCTTCATACCTGTCTAATTGCCGTAGCACTCCTGCTAACCTATTCATGATGTCTATAGTGTATAGGTGCTCACTGCTCGAGACTTTCTTTATTAGCGCTAGTGTTTCTTAGAATATCTGCTCCACCTCTTCCTTTTTGTCTTGATCACTCAGCACTGCCGCTAGGTTGCTCATATTGTTTAGATCTCTTGTGTGATTCTTGCCCAGGATTTCTTCATTCATTGCTATCATCAGTCGATATATCTGCTCTGCCTCTTCCAAATGGCCCTGGCGTCTTAGTGCAATTGCTAAGTTATTTCTGATAAATCTTATCCTCTTATCCTCTCGGCAAATAGTCTTTTCACGTAGTACTATCGCCTCTCTAAACATCGTTTCTGCTTCTCTGTATCGGGTCTGCTCAGATAGTGCTATCCCTAACTCATTCTTATAACTTGCGATAAGTGGATGCTCCTGGCCAAGCGCCTTAGCTGCTCTCAACACAAGCTGACGATACGTTTCCTCCGCCGCTCTGTATTGTCCCAGAATCATTTCGCATTTTCCTATTCGCTCAAGCAGGCTCCACCCCAAATTCTGCTCTGAGGTTTCAGACATAGCCATGACGTATTTGGCATGAGGCAGATATGTTGTCCAGACTTCCCTTGTCTTGGAATCGCTGCGTGGCACAATCTTTTCCAATCTTACAATCGTCTTTTCCACCCATTCGAGCCACTGGCTCTGTGATTTCAACCAGCTTTACATTGCTAAGTGCACTAGTGGGTGGACATCGAATGATCCCTTCGGCCTTTGTGTCTGCTCTTGCTGAAATTCGCACTCGTCACGTATAAACTTTCGTTCAGTTATAAGAGCGTATGCTTTCAATGTCCCAATCGTGTTCGTTCGTTCGTTCTACCTGTAACCTTTCGGCCGGTAGCATTGACTCTGATATATCGTTATTCGCTGTACATGCCATGAATGACAGGTAGTCGGCTGCTAGTTTGTCGCGTGACGTGATTTGGTTGAATGAGATATACCAAGTTGTTGCGATGGGATTTTTCATTTCTAGATACCTTTCTTGGTCTTGGAACTCTTCAATGGGAAGCTGAGTCTCCTGTTGCTCGCTCGATACATCTGTATGTAGTCGCAGAGCTGGATGTTGTTCTGGTTGATGAATGCTGCCGCCTGGACGATTGCAAGGGCAAGGCAAGTGAGCATATTGAGAAATTCGTCAACCATTACCTCATCTTTAACCATGCGTTGGTACTTTTTGAACAAGCGTGTTCTCAAGACCTCCTTAGCATCTTCCCTGTCGAGTATGCCCAGCTCTATGACGTTGTTTGCAGCTAGGTCGTGTGCGGCCTCTACGACTCGGGTTGTAAAGATGAGAGAGCCTTTTGGGCTGTATGGAAGATAGTCGATCAGCCGATCCTCGTTGCTCCCTCATTTAAGTGGGTTGAATAGTATTCTCTCATAGTCCGCATTGTCGATAATCATCAGCCACTGCCCATAACTTTCGTCGCTCAGCCATGCCTTGACAAGTGTCTTGACATTGGCCTTAGCATCTGTAATGCCAGTTATGCGAAGGAGTAGTCCTATCTCTCGATATGCCTGTTCAAAACCTGCTTGGCTGATCGCAGGTACCCAGAACACGGCACGCTGAGGTTGCTGCTCCCGTGTTCGAAAAGCTGTCTCAAGAGCGAGAGCTGTCTTCCCGCAACCACCTAGGCCGTAAACAGCATATCGACAACAGCCTTCCGAGGCTATGTGGGTATCTATTAGGACAAGCTGTTTCCCCCGACTGACGAAGGACCGAGGTCTGGGTAGTGGAACAAACCATAGCGCTGTAATGTGTCAGCCTGGTACACACACGTGTTATTGATAATTCAAAGTTATATTTCCATAATCCTATGTGATTCATTGCCTTAAACAGACCTGCAAATGACCTTCAGGATACCCTTTCATGTCTTTGACTGCGACTGGTTGAATTCTGCATAACAGCTCCCTTGTGAACGCAGCCGCATTACCAGCTGCATGCGATCTCCACAAGTCGTTTTTGTGCGAATCTGCGTAATTGGAGATGCCACGGACAACAAGGCATCGTCTACTCGCGTCAACGCCTGCTGCTTCCATCTCTACACACAGGGCCCTATTGCATCGCGCTCTAATCTTATCACGTAGCTCGGGGTCCTGGATAACTGTGTTGCCGGTAGCAATCCTACCTTGATGAGAGACTAGCGTTTATAGGTGCTCTCTAGTTCGTTGTGGGCGTTGAACCAGTTTGCTTGCATCACAGTCCTTGCATCCAGATCCGTGGCTGCCGACATGACGATATTCAGCCTTGAAGGGTTTGTCATGCTCGAGGCCTGGATGGGCAAATCTCTTCGCTCGCTTCGTGCGCTGCAACTTCCGAAGTTGGACATCGAAAGAAGTTTTTTCCCATTTCATGGTCGCTAGCAAGGATACGAAGTGCTTGGGTAAGTCTCCAGTCTGGGTTTTGCAGTGTGCCCACCATGTGAAATATTCCGTCAACTTTGGCTTTCCCTCGCTTGTGGTATACACACGCAGGTCCGTCGTCACCAGGCCATCCCACAACCACATCTCCAAGGTGAATATCATCCAGAGCATCATCAGGTACTTGTTCGCGGGGGATACCGCCTCCAACTCCCACAAGCACCGCCATGCGAATGTTAGGAAATGTCTTGAACATGGGCCCCGTTAAGCGCCCAGCGTTGACATTACCTGTCCCTCCCGGTGGACAAGTCCCAACAACAACTGCGTGACCATTGATAGTGCCGCATACGTAAGTATTTTCGTCGTAGTAGGTATCGTAAGGCGGTGTTGGGTGCTCTTCATCAAGCATCAGCCTCGCAGGCAAGAGTTCGAGGTCGGCTCCAGGACACATCCAAGCGACGTGATAATCTGCACAACTGGTGTGCATATTGCTGGATGGCATTCCCGAAAGTGCGACTGGGGTTGAAAGCTCTCGAAATTATGACTGTGGTTAAAAGCAAGACAGTAAGACATCGAATAGACATGCTGTTTCAGCGAGGATGAGTGTGTGCCGCAAGGCAATGGCGCTTCAGCCTCGTCGCATTGATTCTGCCTGATCGACCTATTTCAGCCCTCTCAACACAGGGCCATGCCCCACATCGCTGCGCCACACGATATTCTGCTCGTTGGTTACTCAAGGCGCTTCTATCGCGAATCATGGCCAAAGAAGTGTTTATGCTTGGGACTAGCATGCATGAAGGATCAGGGACCTGCTTCCTAGGCATTTGAGATATCTAGGTAATTTTCCTCCATGTAGTTTCTACCTGTTCGCACTCACCTTTACTCCAACATGGACGAATTACCCGTCCACAACGCGCCCCTAGGTCCAAAAAGCAGAACCCAAGACAAGTTTGAAAAGGCATGGATAGCCAGCACGGCCGACAAAAACATCACATTGCACAGCTTCCGTCGATTTAAAACCACGCATCTGCTAAATTTACGTTTCCTAGAAGATGAGATTACCCAAATGGACCACGTTTTGTACCAAGCCGGCCTCAGCCTCAACTTGCCTATCTCCTCATTCGATCGGCTTGGTCTCAAGAACAACAGGAGAGATGACAAAGTTCCCAATATCGATGAATTGATCACTCCAGAATTCATTTTAAAGCTCCGCGGTCTTTTGAAGGAATACGGTACGTACACAGCCTCTGAACTACACATCAACCCCCACTAACACGAAATCCCGGATCCAAAAAGACGAAGCCCTAGCAGCCTTCAACAAAATTATGACGATGGAAATCAACTCTCTTCTCGACGACGATCTACTCTCCAGTTTACGTAGCGACCTCAGTCTGGGAGAGAAATACAAAACGAGGCTGCTACGAGTAGATCTCGGAACGCGAGAGCGGGTTGATCCGTTCCAGCGCTGGCTCTACAAGTACCTACGCTTCTTTAGATTCAGAAAACTAAAGAGGAGGGACCAGAACAACCCTGGAGACCTAGGCTCGACCTGGATTTGGTACCGCTTGCACCACCGCCGCCGCCGCCAATGGTTGTACCCAGATACTCTTCTCATAGCCGAAATCACCGGGCGTCTATTCACCGCAGCATTTACAGCCATATTCCTCATTGCTCCTTTGGTTATTCTATCGCACGAGTCATCTAAAAACGTTCAGTTGGCGATTATCGCAGCGTGGATACTCGGGCTATCATTTCTCGTGTCGCTTTTCCTCAAAGTGACCAGCTTCGAGATGATGGCCGTGGCAGCAGCTTACGCTGCTATTTTATCCGTTTTCGTATCCAATGTACCTGTGGATACAAGGACAAGTGCGAATTAGTTAATCACAAGAGCGCCGCACATGTATACTAGACTTGTATAATTCAGTTTAAGACACCTTCAGGTATCATCTTTTCTCCACGCAAACGGCATTTGCATCTTGAACAGAGTGGTATGAGAATAAGTTTTGTTATTCGAAAAAAAGGAAACTCGAGTCAGGATGATTGTACTCGGTCAAGTAACTACGCTACACTAATAATTCTCTAAACGCGCTTTCCCGTCTAACTAGCACTGCAGACAACATTAAACAGTCCTGTGCTATAATCACACACGCACAACTACTTCTCTTCATCATCAACCAACCTCTCGCTTTACCCCATATACTAAGTACACACAAAAGAAAAACGGGGTCAAACGCTTAGAAAGCGACAGCCTTCATGCCGCGCTTAGCAGGCATGTTAGCGAGATTGGCGCGACGCACGCGTGGAGAAGTAAGGAAGCCGGCTGGGAGCTTGATGGTTGCCTCACCGGCTGCTTCTTGTTGCTGTTCCTGTGCGGCGGGCGCTTCGGCGGGCGCTTCAGCAGGTGCTTCGGCAGGGGCTGAGGCTGAGGCCTCGCCCTTGTTGTCTTGCGCAGCGTCCTCAGCGGGCTTCTCGGCTTGAGCAGCCTCCTCTTGCTTCTTCTTTTCCTCCTCAGCAGCCTGCTTGTCTGCCTCCTCCTGCTTCTTCTTCTTCTCTTCTTCGGCGGCCTTCTTGTCGGCCTCATCCTGCTTCTTCTGTTCCTCTGCAGCCTTCTTCTCCTGTTCCTGAGCAGCCTTGTCAGCCTCTTCCTTGGCCTTCTTCTCTTCCTCAGCCTTCTTCTTCTCTTCCTCAGCTGCCTTCTTCTGCTCCTCTTCGGCCTTCTTCTTCTCTTCCTCGGCAGCACCGGTTTCAGCAGGCGCCGCAGGGGTGCTCATGGCCGGGGAAGCAGTCATGTTGGCAGCACCAGTAGCCTGTGCAGCCTGATCCATAATCAAAGAGAAGCTTTCGGTGACCTCAGCCGCAGGAGGAGCAGACGATGTAGGCGGTGCAGCTTCGCTACCGTTCATGCCACCGGCGGCTGGGGGCATCTCAACAGCGGGAGGTGGAGATGGCATTTCAGCGGGAGCATGAGGCATCTTGGCAGGAGGAGTCATCTCAGCAGCAGGAGGCATCTCCGCGGCAGGAGGCATCTCCGCGGCAGGAGGTGGAGGAGGTGCCGTTGTATGGGCAGGGGGAGGTGATGGCATCACATGAGCGGGAGGTGGCGGTGGCATCTCTGCAGCAGCGGGGACAGATAGAGCTGGCATCTCATGAGCCGGGGGTGGAGGAGGCATTTCCGCAGCAGGAGGTGGAGGGGGCGCCATAGTATGAGCAGGAGGTGGAGGTGGCATCTCGGCGGGAGGAGGTGGTGGTGGTGGCATCTCAGCAGCAGGAGGAGGGGGCATAACATGTGTAGGGGCCGGGGCAGGAGTCTCGTGAGGCATAGCAGCAGGTGGTGGAGGAGGTGGAGGGGTGGCAGCTGGAGCCTCTGTCTTCATGGCCATAGAGATGCTGGCCATTTCCCGCGAGACGTGCATAGCTTCCATAGCATCAGCCGATGCCTTATGGGCAGCGTCCTTTGCTTTCTCAGATGCAACGTGCATGGATTCCATGGCTGCTGCAGCCTCCTGGTGTGCCTTTTCCTTTGCTTCGGCTTCTGCTTGGTGCATAGCCTCCATCTGCTTAGCGGCCTCTTGGTGGGCCTTCTCCTTTGCCTCTGCCTCTGCCTGATGCATGGCTTCCATCTGCTTAGCGGCCTCTTGATGAGCTTTTTCTTTGGCCTCCGCTTCAGCTGCATGCATTGCTTCCATAGCATCCGCGGAAGCTTTGCCAGGATCAACTCCTGCGGCTGGTGCTGGTGCAGCCTCGGCAGGCATTTGCGTGCGCGCGACGACACGAGTAGGCTTGAGGTTTGCATTCGGGAGTAGCTGTACGTTCCTTGGAAGAGGACCGGCGGCTACGGCCGCAGCCGAAAGGAGAGTGAGTAGTGGGTAAATAGTCTTCATTATGAATGGTCGGGTTCTTTTTTTTGTTTTCCTGAAAGGACTGGATGCGGATCACCGAGTGTCTGTGTATTACAATGGTAAAATGAAGGAATGAAGAGCACAGCTCAACAATGATTAAAATATGAGTGCTCGGCACTGTTGAAAAGAAGGTAAGGGACTTGAAGACGGCGTTGATGAAAGAGATGACAAAACCTATGAGGCGCCGGGCCTTTCGCGTTATATGTACTTTGGGCTGTTGCTAGGAAATAAGGCCGAATCGGAACATCCATCTGGGAGCAAAAACATTACGTGGAATCGGTGTAAACTTGCAAGTGTTTGATCTCGGCCTCCTGGCCGCATTCTCTGCATAGCCATGATGCCTTGAGGCACCAGGGCGACCAGACAGGGCAATCCAAAGGCAATCTCCCCACTCTTCTCCAACATGTACAGCTGCCATTTTGCCGTCTAGCCGCAAGTGATGGTGCTTGGCACGAACATGCTAGGGTAAAACCCATGTGCTGAATGAGGCGCTGGGCAACGAGGTCCAATCAGAGGCGTTAGATACCAGCGGACAGACCAAGAGCGCGACTTCAGCGGTGGCAGTCTTGGCCTGACAGGAACTGTCGGAGAATACGTAGCAAGTCCAGATGCAGGAATATTGCAGTGTTGAGGCTCTGTTGGTCGATGCCATAAGGCCTATGCGCGTTAGGGATGTGAGGCGAATAAGGTTTCAACATTCCGGAACGAGCAACGGCCCGCATGTCCTGACAGCCTCGAACCCCAGGCCCAAGCCACCGTCCCTGCCAGAGGCCGATATTGATGTCAGTGATTCTAGCTCTTGGAGGTTCTTGAGGGTCGCCCAGGTCCCTGTTCGTGTTTGCAAAACCCGTTGTAGCAAAGTGCCTGGTTTCAGCGCACGCCACGGCGCCGGTTGCGACCTCATCCGAAGTAAGGCAGTGGGATACAATCGAATCAGGATTTTTTTTCTTGATGGTCGGCATGTGTTGCCGGAGGAGCTGATGCGATCGAGGAAGCAGAGACCAAGTTGTCGTGATGCTGGCACGATGGGATGATGGCAAGCTGTAACTGCCTAGTATACCACAGAGCGAAGAGAAGCAGATCAGACGCCCATACTCATTTCTCCAATGAAAGACTACCCCAATCTTTCATGCTGATTACACAGAACTATCGCTCGAGACAGAATGGCATGTTGAAGGTGTCGCGCAATAGTCTCCGCATGCGATGGCGATCGAGGATCTTCAGTCCGAGGGCACGGGCCTTGTGCAGCCGTTGGGACCATACTACCAATCATCGCATATTCGACCTCGGAATTCATATTCGCAGCAAGGGCAGCACAAAATCTCTCCTGGAATCGCTCGTTAAACCCTTGGAAGTCACGGCAAAGCATAAAGTTTTATTTCTTCGGGAACAACCCATGATCATGCGCGGCGGTATGTCCACGTTCCATGCTCGCGACCAGCCCTGTCCTTTGTCAAACAACGTGGGAAATCTCGGTATGAGGCGTCAAACGCATCCAATGCACCCAGAAAAAAGGTTTGCGCCCGTCTGATCAGACGACGATCTTCATGCCTTTAAAGAATTATACCATACCAATGCTAGCAAGGCCGTTGTTAAATGGCTCCAACCTAGCATACAGTCCTCCACAAGTCGATCCAACTGGTCTCTTGAGAAGGGTACCGAAAATATCCTGCATTTATGGAACGTACAATGCCCGATGAAGGATTTTCGTTTCTTTTGTCCAATGCCGATGTTGGAACCGACAATACTCTCACGGAGCCACAATAGTTTGGCAAACGTATTCGCAAGGCATGAAATCTGGCAACTCTGATTCTCGAGAGGTCTCATTATATGCTAGCCTTGAGCATATTGGGAGTGGAGTTGTTTCCTGGACATCCTTAGATGAGAAGGCGCCCATCGTTGAACAGTTGATCCTGCCCCAGGATGCGGCAGAGGTTTCAGCACAAGAAAAAGGTAGCGCAGTGGATAGTTCAAACAAACTCAAAGGTCTGCTGACTGTCCTCCGTCAAGTGCCCATCTCTGAATAACTCGCCGTCCATCAATCCGAAAATGAAGCCACCGCCAACGACTTGATGACGGCTACCTGACGGGCGTATGATAGTAGGATATGGACATCCTGCGACAATACAAACATCGTCCCCTACCAAAACACCACGGGTTGCAAAGCCCATATAGCCCTTCTCTGTGACTATTAAGCTTTTTCTGTCCACCCAATCCATGATTCTTCGCCTCACAGTTTCAAGGCTGACGCGTTCTGAAGGAATTTGCCAATCTATATCTGCTTGGAAAGCGTCGGGGTATGATTCAGACCCCCAAAAAGGCGTCATACGTTGTTGCGGGGTCATTGCAAGGAAAGCGCTATGGTCTTTAGCGTCCTTGTATGGCTCAACCAGATGATCGATGGCTCCGGTAACTGCCGCGAATCGCAAGCTCATTGAGATTTCGTCTGTAATAGTTTCAAATACGGCCATGAGATTGTTCTGTTCGACAAAAGTGAGGAATCGTCCATGCAACAAGGGGTTTTCCTTCCCACAGTCTAGTAGCCAGTGCAAGAACGTACGGATGCCATATATTGAAAGTCGGTGTTGAAATTCGTCGACGGAGTGATATCCGAGGATATTACAGCAAATTGCTTGAAGGAAGGTAGCCCCCGTTGGATGAGACATGGTGATGTTGGATACAGTGAAATCGAATAAAACTTCTGTCACCTGTTGAGGAATCGAGAATTGGAAGACTGACTGAACGGTGTCTACTACGCACCCAGAGGTCCGTAGCAACTGAAGAGAAGTTGTGGGGAAGATTCTTGTTTTCCATCCTCCATGGGCATGCACACCAATCCAGTCTTGATGGGTATATTCGATGCAATCTCGGCGGAAATTTGGTGTCCAGGACGGCAGATTCGGGACGAAGGGATCGATACTACTGTCCGGCTCTTGTCGAAGGATGAGGAGTCCGCTTTGTTTGGCGACATTTTTAACTAATTCAATGAACACTTGAGCTATTGGCTTGGTATAGTCGACAGTGACAGGTATAGGACGTTCACAAAAACCCAACATTCCATAGATTTTGTCGCGGGATCCGTAGCATCGCATCGCACCAAGCTTGATACCACATCAAGGATATTCCCCAGATTGGCTAACCGTAGTTCAAGCGTGGGGGGGTGAGGCAAGTTCCCACGAAGCGGTAATGATCTCATCAGCACTGTCTTTCCACCGAATGCTCTTGCATCGAATACAATCGATGATGTCTCGGAAAACCATGATCATATTGAATGATATAGACACGGAGCCGGAAATCATTGTTACTTTGGGTGGAAGAACGAGCTCTTGCTGAACCCAAGTTCTATACCAGTATGATCTAGAAAACACCAGTCCTATGTCTTGGACATCAGACATGCCCAATGTTGATTTACCGTCCCGAAGATTTTGGGCAATATAATCCTGGAGGCCAAGTACATTTGGTTGCACTGAACTTTGGCAAATTTGATGGCGAAATGGTCAATGTCCTCAACACGCTTGGTGAAATCACCCACGAAACTGCAGATGAGGGAAAATACACGTTGCGCGCTACCATCGTCATCTTCACCCAGCCATGCGTAAGTCAGTGTGGTCTTGGAATACAGTTTGCTCATCATGGCCACCTGTGAATTCCTTTCATCGAGATCTTGCTGGTTGATGCACACTGCATCGACCCAGAGAATAACTTCTGAGTCGGACTTACGGATGCGCCGTAGTGCAGCTTCGAGATTGTGGGTAACCTGGACTCTGATACCATTGACTATAATGTATTTGGTGATGTCCTTTCGGCCCCATTCATATGATAGAGCCTTGTACGATGGTTGTTCGGCAAGACTAGTAGTGAAGAGCTGGCACGAGATGATGCTTTCCGGGATGTTGGTGGGATGTATGCGAAGAAATCGAAATTTTTCTCGGGTTGGGTTAAGTGGTTGATAAAGTGAGATGTTTGCCATCTGGATAGCTTATGGTGTGGAGAGGCAGCTACAATATTCATGTTCCCGTGGAAGCCGGGCGTTCAGATCCTAAATAGCCAGCGCTGTCAGGGCGTATTGGGGGCGGTTTCAGTTACCTCGTATGTCAGGCAGGATGGCTGTGTACATATGAGAAAAGTGTGGCGGTGCGTGTGGGGAATGGTTGCACAGCCACCAAACATCACCACAGCGTCTGCTATCGATGAATGCAACAGTCAAACACAAGACATCCGCTTATATCGCCCATAATTGCGGCCAAGCACCACATATAAAGGAACGGCTATTCCCTCCATAACCCTATCCTGCAGTTCAAAATGGCTATCCGCATCTACCCCGCGACTCCTTCTGTTGCCCCACGTCTCGCTAGTATTCATGTATCAGCCTTCTCTTCCAACCGGCTCATGCGCGCTATCTATCCTACGCCAGCAATTTGGGCAGCATTTGAACACGCCGTAGAAGAAAAGTTAATCGCCGACATGCTCGATGAAAGGACGAGTGTGATGGTTGCACAGTCTGCAGAAACGGAAAAGGATGGTAGAGGAGAGATAGTAGGGTTTGCAGTATGGTGCCACGCTTGTCCGGAAGACAAAGAGGAGGAAAGGAGCAGCAATGTCAAAAAGACATATACAGCACCGCGTTGGAATCTACCAGTGGGGACAGATTGGGAGATTTTAAATGCATGGAGAGCTGCTGCTGCGAAAGTCGCGGAGCATACTATTGGAGATTGTCGGCATTACGGTGAGTATACATGTCACGTTTCGTTTCTAACTGACTCTTGGTAATTTCGGCCTCGACAGAACTATCCTGGATCGCCGTATCACCAAGCCATGGCCGCCAAGGCGTGGGCAGAATGCTACTTGACTGGGGCCTCGACACATGCAACAAAAAACGGGTGCCTGTGTACTTGGAAAGCACCGTGGATGCGGCCGAGAGATTTTATGCAAAAGCTGGATTTAAGGAAAAAGGAAGAATTCAGTTGGTGGTCAGGGGCGAGTTGTACGAGGAAGTTGCTTGTGTATATGAACCAAGTGGTATACAAGACGAGGATGACGCGAGGCTGAGATGAAGGGCCGCTTGAGGATATAGGCTCCCAAACACACCCAGTACGCCTACGCGATGATGACGGATACAGCAACCCAGTAAGCAGGGTGGATCGATAAGTACCCGGTTCCCACACATGGTCAGTCATTCAGAAGATCTGCGTAGGCTATGATCTCCTGACGGGGTTCTCGCTAAAGATGCGATCTGCTCGGGATCGGTTTCGAGTGCCGGGACGCGCCATGAGGTGCGTCATGGGCATACTACTAGCGGAACAACCTTCCCTGCTGGGACGCAGGGGCTCCGCTCCCATTGGCATCTCGTTTGTTGGTTCAGTCAGGTACTATTTCCGGATAACTGAAAAGATCTTCAGCAACATGCGGGATTCGCCTTCGGAATGGATGGAATGGGTTTAGGATATTGTGTGATATTTCGTCATGTTGAGGTGATTGCTAAGAAGAAGGTTTCGTCCGTATTCTACATGCTAATTTTGCCTAGGCACACGGAGTGATACACTATATGCTAATATGACAGTACAGATGGTGCATGCTAGTTCAATTCGCCCAGCCAGAGAGCTGTGATATCTGTGCGAGGCAACACATGTGCGCGTGACCGTTACGGCGAGTGCGTTTGCAAAAAGAGGCGGTCTACGATACTCCTTTCTGTATAGCAGATATACCGCATACACACATGTTACTGTATAGTAGACAGTAGATACCCCTTGGAGGCACGTCGCAGAGAGGCCATAGTCAGGGACTGTGTGGATCCAGCGATGCTTCTAGAGCGTGCTCTAATTTGCTGCTGACACGGTGGCAGCGCAGCCAAGGAGGGATCGAGGGGCCATTTGGACCAGTGTTCGCTGTCGCAGGCCCCACGGGGACTCGCGTCGTCGAGTCGGGGGTGAGGGCGAGTGTGCCGGCGGGTGGTGGTGAGATGGATTTTTTCACAGAGCATTTCGGGTGTCGCTGACTTTAGCCCGTCTGCTGGTGGCGGTGGCCAATCAGCGAATCCATGACACACAGATTTCCACTTTTAGCCGGGCCCGTTGCATCACCCGTGACCGACGTCGCCGCCTTTGGCTTCGAGATTGCTCCCACACTTCTCCTTTCGGCGCCTCCCAAGCATCGCTACCATCTCTTGATCCATTCTTTGGATCCACCGCCAGGTCGCGCCCGCGACGCACTGGTCGTTTGGGTTCGCATCGACGGCCGCAAACGCAGTTGGGCCCATGAGGTAACGCCGACGACGACTCACTGCCCAAGCCCTGAGCACCCAGCACCACGCCGATATATGCTGGACTCCCCCTCAAACCACATCTGCCCTCATCCCTTTGATCCACACAAAAGCACTCTCTCTTCATTGCCATCTCCCCTTCCGGGCGCCCCATCCCCCCGCAATGGAGCCCACTTCGTCCCATTCATCTGATCGCACAAACGGCGATGCTCACGAGCTCGACCACCTTGCCCCCACCTACCCAACACCCTCAGTACAGCCTGAGCAGGCAACGGGCAGGACACGCGTGCGCTTCAACAGCTCGGCCAATGTTGAAGTCCCCATTTCTCCCCATCTCTCTCCCAGCAATGAGCCCGTTCAAGGATCCGATTCGGCAGAAAACACTGTCGACCAGCACACGGCCGATGCCGAAGAGCTGCTCAATGCCCACAATGCCCGCCTTGCACATGCTGAAACCGCACGTGCTGAGAGTTCAGAAGGTCATGCTTTTAATGACACAGACTCGGACGGCGGCTATGCCGTCACAGGCAACAACAATGGAGGCATCTTCTATCAGATCCTCCAGACATACAAGAACCCCGTACCTGCCTTCCCCGACGCCGCCTCCGAGCACAGCAACACCACCCCTCCCCATCCCGTCTCTTCTTCTGGCGCCAACACGCCAAAACGGAAATGGTACAATGCCAACAAGCCCATCCAGTCAACCGACACACTGGCTACTCTGATTGGTGCTTCGGCCAAGTTGGCCAACCCCAAAGATGAAAAGAAAGACCCTCCTATGCGACCACGCCAGCACAAGCGCACGGCTAGTGGTGGCATTGTTGCAAAAGTCTGGAAGGCCAAAGAAGACCAGGACGCCAAGATCAAAATTCATGTGGCCAACATCCTCAAGCGACAGCAATACATCATTCGCATGTGTCGTGCTCTCATGCTTTTTGGCGCACCCACTCATCGCCTCGAGGAGTATCTTGCCATGACAGCAAAGGTTCTTGAGATTAACAGCCAGTTTCTCTACATCCCTGGTTGTATGATCATTTCCTTTGACGACAACCTTACCCATACCGCCGAAGTCAAGATTGTCCGCACTGCCCAGGGCGTCAACCTGGGTAAGCTCAAGGACACCCATGAGATTTACAAAGAGGTCCTGCATGATGTCATCAGTCTCGACGAAGCTCTTGCCCGCCTCGATACCGTCATCAACGCGAAAGACCGCCACCCCGTCTGGTTGACCGTCATCATGTATGGCTTGGCCAGCGCGGCCGTTTCCGTCTTCTTCTCAGCACGCTTCATTGACATGCCTATTATCCTCGCCCTTGGTATGGTTTTGGGCGTGCTCCAATTGGTCATCGCTCCACTCTCCAAGACGTACAGCACTGTTTTCGAAATCTCGGCTACCATTCTCATGAGCTTCCTTGCTCGTGCTTTTGGCAGCATTGACAATGGAAACCTCTTCTGTTTCTCAGCTATTGCACAGAGCGCCATCGCCTTGATCCTTCCCGGCTGGTTGGTCCTGAGCTCTGCCCTCGAACTCCAGTCCCGTGCCATTGTGCCCGGCTCCATCCGACTCGTCTTTGCCATCATCTACTCTCTCTTTCTGGGATATGGCATAACCGTCGGCACAGCCATCTATGGTGCTATCGATAGCAATGCCACCAACGCGACCCAATGCCAGGAACCCCTACACCCATACTGGAGCTTCCTCTTCGTTCCTCTGTATGTCTTCTTCACGACTTTCACCGTACAAGCAAAGTACAAGCAAATGCCCGCCATGATCATCATTGCATTTGCTGGTTACTTGGTCAATTTCTACGCCAGCAAGAAATTCTCGTCCTCTGCTCCAATCGCATACACATTCGGTGCCTTCACCGTCGGTGTTTTGGCCAACCTCTACAGTCGACTGCGCCACGGAGTTGCTGCTGCTGTCCTCCTACCCGCCGTCTATGTACAGGTGCCTGGATCTCTTGCATCAAGCGGGAGTATCAACTCTGCTCTGAAAACTGCATCCGCCTTGATCAAAGGCGCAGCGGGAGCGGCTGATGTAAGACACTTGATAACATCTCAAATGGTCACTTCTAACGCAAATTAGTCGAGTCCCGATAGTTTGAACGCTATCGTCTTCAATGTCGCAGCTTCCATGATCCAGATTGCCATTGGCATTACTGTCGGCTTGTTCATGGCGGCCCTCCTCGTCTATCCAATGGGCAAACGACGGAGTGGTCTCTGGACTCTATAGAGTATACCTTCTGATTTTTTTTCTTGTTCTGCATAGCGATACGGCGTCTCGGAAAACTAAAAGCGAAGGCGTTTGGGGGAGTTTGCATGCTAATCACGAGTAGTTGTCAACACTACCACGTTCAATCTGGTCGGTGCCTCATGGCAATGCGTGGTGTCGAGGTGAAGTGTGAAGGTAAGCCCCATTGCAGCTACGGTTGATTCCAGCGCAACCTCCAAGCAACCTTCGACCGCCTTGCGACAACCATTCCCTATCCCGGTAGCCGTTGCGACATACCATATCCATCCGGCCACTCCCGCAGCCTTTGTATCATTCCCTCCCGGTTATTCCCGCAGCCTTTGCGACATCCTCCACCTGGTCACCTAGCAACCCTTGCCTAAACCATCCACCCGGTCATTCCCAAAGCCCTTTGCCATATACCCACCCGGATAATCCCACAACCTTGGAGTCATTGCCCTTCCGGAACCTCCCTCGGAGCCCCCTTTGGAACCCTGGACTCTTATGAAACTGCCCTTACGATTTGGTTTCCTTCCTTGGCCTACCTTTAGTTTGCTTTCCCTTTGCGCCAATTTACTTACTTTAGGGCCTGCGATTACCGATTGCGACATATGCCGTACCCTACGGTTCCTCTTGTACACGGACTTCCAAGCAGTATTTAATCCCTGCACCTTTGCGTCCTCGTCTCCTGCCCATGATGCTTTGTTAATGTTTGCAAAGCTCATGTCAGTGCGAGGATGATGTCTATGTATTTAATGTGATGACTGTTATCATTAATGCCAGTGAAGATGTGAATTGTTAACCTTGGTAAAGTGGGCATGTTGGCGATGAGAGGCGGGTATTAGGGAGATTGATAGGGTTCTGTAGTAAATAGACGATAAAAATGTTATGATTGAGTTTGAAACATGGTCTTGACAAACATGGATGCTCTTGTTGGTGCATTTCCTATTTGACCCAAGTGCTCAGGTCGAAGAGTGCGTATTGGATGTGGGATTGAATGAATGAATGAATTGTTGAAGTATGGCCTAGCAGTTGCTTCAAGTGGCGAAACGGCTTCTGTTTCTCTTTTGTTTATTAGATTGTTAGTTTCTGACACTACACTCGACATGTACTTGGATAACCGGAGGTGGGATTGTGAAAGACGGCCGAGAGTGAGTAGTTGAGTAGAGGAGGAGGAGGAAAATGACGAAAAGGAGAGGAAGTCCAAGATGCACAGTCAAAGTTCAAACCCATCACTCCACGTGAACAATTGCTGATCAAGCCTCTCTCCCTCTCAAGCCACTGCCCAATCCACACAGTGACGTCGCCATACCTCTCCCGCGCCCCAACCCCTACATACGCAAGCACACACACACGCAAGCAATCTAAGTAAGCAACAAGCGCACCCAAGCTTTTCCCTCTCTTCCCAAGACACGCCCAAACCCTACGTCAAGCCGCATGAAGTTGAGGCTCAAAATCCACACACCCATGCGCATGTCCCTGCATCCTCACGTCAAAGGCTTTTCTCACACATGCACACGCGCAATCTCTCTCATCCAAACAACGACACTGAAAGGCGAAGAAGAAGTGTGTGTGCGTCTAGAAGGATGCATGGAAGGAAACGCACCGACCACCACCACCACCACCGCCCAATCGCTGCAGTCAGGATATGTATGTATGTATGTAACTAAGGACCCGTGCTGGAACTGGCAGGCTTTGGCTGGGCTGCAGCTTGGGTCGACTTTTTTGGTCTTGGGTTTTTGGGAAGTGTGGCTGGCTTTTGGAGAAGAGAAAGAGGGAAAGGGGCTTGATTGGGTGGTTTGGTCGGGTACTCCTTACGCGAGGGGGGAGCATATGGTTTAGTCTTGCATTGTGTGTGTCGCTGACATGGGGGGGGGGTGGTGGTAAAGATTCGGTTGCGGGTCGGTTCCGAGCGGTGGTTTTCATTTTTTGGGTCTGGGGGGGAAGGGTGCACGGGCGGTTTAGACACATATACGTACGTACGTAGTTTTTGTGTAAGATGATAGTATACTGGATGCTATGACGATAGTGAGGTATTTTTCGACAAGGGCATGTCCTGGGGAATTTGTGACTCGAGATGCGTTTTGGAGCTTGCGGACAGACGCGGAATCCGCAGGCAAGCATTTCCAGGCGTCCCGTTGACGCGTACGGTGGTCGGGCATAATCGGCAAATGTGTATGTTTGAGTGACTTTCCGGTGTGGTTTTGTTTTAGGGGGGGGAAGAGGGCAGCTGGCTGGCAGGAAAGGACAAGTGACGGACGGATCGCTGTTAGAGGCGGAAATAACGAAAGGCGGGATGCGAGTGTGAAGCTTACCAAGAAGCTAGAAGAAACAAGTGTTGGGGGAAGCATTCAAGCGAAAGGAATGAAGGACGTCTACTAGGGTAGACTATGATCTACAATAGGAGATTCGTTTGTGTATACACAAGGCGTAGTCTACCAATACAGGTGCATCGAGTATCCAACCACGACGGATGTCCGATGGTGGCTGGTTTTTTCTCCCACTCCCCCATTCTCAACGATGAGTTCCCCGCTCGTCAAGATGCCACGGAAAAGCTTGGCATGCGCATGGTGTGGGCTTGTGTGTGTGGGTGTCGTACGATGGATCTGGAGCATGGAGTATCGGAAGCAAGCAGCCAGCGTCAGTCAGTAAAAGCAGCAATGTCCCAGTGCTCTTGTAGGGCTGTATTAGCGTCCGCCGAGTTGACCTGGCACTGGACCCTGAGGTGCGCCGGCCCCATGACGCTATGACGATTGGGGACTGTGCTAAGATATTTATAAGGCGGGACGGATAGGCTGGGGGTTGAAATGAAGAAAATAAATGCAGGCCGACTCGTGGTCGTCAGGCGTTCTCACCAGTCAAGCGTCAGGTGCTGGGAATCCTTCAGTGCTTGTTATTGAGACGGCTGTGTTGATAAATGCAGAAGACTTGCATTAACAATTCACGGGCTGGGACTAGTGGTGTCGATAGTTTCCGGAGCGGGTACACAACGACGCGGGAGAACAGGAGAATCAAACCCCACGAGTGGCTTAAATTTGGTGGTACATACACAGGGTCTTTCTGGAAGTCTGTTGCTGTCGCTGACTGTTTAGCCGGCTGGGTAGGCTTGGTGCTTTACGGTGCAGCAGGAGAGTTGTGTCAGCAGCGGGGCAAGTCATGTTGAGTGGTTGTCTTGCAGGACCGATTATGTACGCAGGGTAGGAGATATCTTGGAGCAGGCTTGCTTGCTTGCAGGTAGCACGGACCTCGAATCAGTGGATGGGAGAAATGCAAATCAGATAAGATAGCCATATGCATATTGTCTCGCTGCTGTATGCATATGTGTAGACGTACTGCAGCGGCCGATGATCTTTACGACATGCAGCTAGCTGGCAGTGCACATGCGTATGTGGTCAAGGGGATTGGAGGCGGATGGGCTTTCCAGGCGAGGGGAATGGCCGGGGCCAGAGTCCAGACGGCTCGATGGAGGCTTGTACGTCACCAGAGCGGTCTTGTTTGCCCAAAGCAAAATTACTCTTTTCAGCCAGTAGTCTAGCGCAGTCGCAGCAGACAGAAAGCAGCAGAAGGCGGCAGGTAGGGCTGTGGTCTACTCGACGACCACGTGGATTGGTGCAAATATATGTGCAAGTCGTACGACACGGCACAGATGAGAGCGACGTTTGTGAAGGAGTAGGTGGTGCATCGGTGTAGACTGTATACAAGTAGTGTGTATAGGTGTATGCTAGTGTTGCGGCCAGCACGGGTCAACGGGGGCAATAGGTTGCTTTTGGGGGGAGCAGAATGATGGAGAATGAGTCGATAGCGCCGCGGAGGTGGCGTGGGGAGGGGAGGGTACAATAGTCGCACTGTGGGAATAGGCGGGTAGCGGTCGCTTACAGCAATGTTACATGGAAGAGGTTGCTGATAAGTCATGGCTATGGCGCTTACGTGGACTGGTAGAGTCGAGAGTAACACGTGCTAGTGCCGGTCATGCCCGCCCGCCAATCCCCAGCCTCGACACCCCATCTTTGACCGATCGAGGCGGCCAAATGCTACCAGCCATCAACTACACGCGATAATGCGTGCTTTTTACAAAGACACTGCCGACCGACTGTCATGGTGTGCAGTATACCCTCTTGACATGGTGACAGCAGCAGCAGTAGCAGTAGCAGCAGCAGCAGCACTCACTCGCCAATACTAGTCGCATGGCAGCAGCATGCTCGTCCGTCGCCCAAGATGCAGGGCTGTTATCGCAGAGTCACCGCTTGGAGCGGCTTGAGGCCGGCTATTGTGTGTACGACGCAGGCGTCCTTTGGGCTCCGTGTGCTCGCTGTCGTCGTGTTGAAGCGAGGCCGAGGGGCGGTGACAGAATTGGAGGGCGACTGCATCTGTGGCTGTCTGTGGCTAGCGCGAACGACACGTGACCCCGACCGAACTTCGGCCTCTGCCTGCCCTGCCTCCCCTCACCCACAAGCAACACATGCAGACGAGCTGAAGGTCCCCCCGGGCTCCGTACGTCACTGCAGCGATAGCGACACCTGGCTCTCCTGTCGTTGGCTAGTGTACCACCAAACCACAAGAGACGGTCCCGGACACCACCCACGGCTCTGCATGTGAACAGCCCAGTCACCAAAACCACCCCCCCCCATGCCACTCGAGTGGATGTACTACCTGCCTACTAACTACTACTACCACTCCTCCCTACATACCCTCTGCCCCTCGCCACCGCTGTCTCGCCCTCCTTCAGCCTTACCACGCATGGTCAGCGGCCCTCTTCTCGAAAAGACACGCCCAGGCACCTTTTGGATGCTGTCAAAGGCGGGCACAAATGACGGGCGTGCGTGCTGCACATGTGCGGGTTAGCTCAGCAGGCCTGCCAATCTTTTATCAAACACTCAAACCAGCATAGCGCACGCCTCTATGCACGCCCCTGGCCCGCGGCAATCGGTGGTCCAACCTGGCGAGCCATTCCTCGACGAGAATAACAACATCTTGGGATGCCCGCTGCACGCCTGGTCTGTGCCCCGGACGCGTGGGCCGAAAGTATTGCGACAGTCCCACGCAAAGGCAAGCGTCAGGCTCGCCTTATGCACGTATTTTCGCTCAGCGCCACATGTCTAGGCTCCGCTGTGGCCGTTGGAAGCGGACATGGTGGCATGCCCATGGCTATGGCCTTTGCCAAATCCCTGTCCAAGCCCTCGGCCACCATCTCTACCGACTAGTACGTCGACGCACTCGATGCCCGTCGTGCGCTTCCTGTATAAGATCTCAGCTTGCCCACCGTTGTGTAAGCCTTCTTCACCACATAAGCAAACTTGCCTAGACAGACATCGCCATCGCACGCCATACTTAGCCGCCCTCTCAGCCTTGCCATACATACTACTACTACCAAACCTACTAATCACCACCACCACTCTTCTCGTTATTGCTTACAGTGCACCCAACTACCACTGCAATGGATTCCCATTCCTTTGACTATTGGATGGCCCAGGGCAACTACGTTGTTCCCCCGCACCAGACCACCGTTTTCGACATGCCCCCAGAGCTGTCCAAAGTCCCCAGCCTCAGCGGATCGCCTGTAAGTTGTTGATCACGCTAGTCCCGTCTTCCTCAAAACTCATATCCAAAAGGTTTCTTCCACATATGACCAATTTCCCACCCAAATACAGCATGCATACTATCCTCAGATTGTCGACGAGCCCATGCAGTTTGGATCGTATCCCATGCCAATGACTCCATCTGATTTTGGATCCGACCACGACAGCCCATACTGCAGTCCCCGACCATTGCAACATGTCGAGCCAACCTTTGGAGCCGTGCACACAGCCGCCCCAGCTGAGCGAACACACACAACCTCTGGCGTAAGTCTGACTCTAAAAATACCTTGCATCTGATCTAACAAACACTAGCGCCGACGAGCTCAAAATCGTGCTGCCCAGCGCGCTTTCCGTGAGCGAAAAGAAAAGCACGCACGGGATCTTGAAAACCAACTTGCTATTCTCAACGAAAAGTACAGCAAGCTCGAGGTTTCACACTCTGAACTCAACGCTGCGTACGAGAAGCTCCGGAAAACCATTGAGCTGCTCACCCAGGACGACGATGCCGAGGGCGAGGATGAGGACGGCACTTCCACACGTCGACGCAGCACAAACTCAGATACTCTACGGAAACTACTCGAAATACTGCACGGCGAGTTCAAGAGTACGACACCGGTGAAGACTGAAGCTGTTTCCTGATCAGCCAGCAATGTCTTTTTCTTCCACCATCGCTTGTTGCATCACTTCAATTCTTGTATACCCCTTCTTCTCGCCACGCTTCCACGACGATTGTTCTTTTGCAGCGCTTTTGCTTTGGGGTTTGGGGTTTTGGGCAGGTTACATACAATGACTCTGGCGCTCACTCGCTCGCTCACGACAAAATAAAAACTACTATCTAGGCAAATGTTTGTTTTGTCGGAAAGCGTAAATACCTTTTTAGACCGCGGGTAACTCCTTGACGCAGCTACGGCCGGAATAGTTATTTTGTTTGATAGGAAACCATAATGCCATAGAATCAACTTTTTTTTTCCACACTACCTAGATACATATTTTTGCGTTAGCCCAACTAGGACTACTACTACTACTACCACTGTACCTCTTGGGTGCTATCTGCCCCCCCCCCCTCTCTCACGGACCCGTGACCCTTGCATCCGGGTTAACCCTAAAAATCCCAAATAACCGCATTCCGCTTGTCCTCGACTCCACCGCGCACCGGCCGCCGACGCCCCCATAACTGCACTTCTGCGCTAGAGCAAGCCACGGACTCGTATCCCGATATAGCAGGCCGAACAGTCAGCAAGCAAAAGCCCGGTATCCAAGTCAAGTTTTTTTGTCTCAAAGTTGGCTAGTTCTAAGCCAGCCTCATCAGCCCTCTCTTGTCTCTTGTTGTTGTTTTTTGCTTTTTTTTGCTACCCATACATTCCGTCGGTTGGACATGGCTGGATCATTTCCGCCAATCAAAGCTTAGTTGGAGCGAGTAAGTTGCAGCTGGTCGCCTACAACAAGTAGTAGTATACACATGGCATTTCCCGTTTTTCCTTGTTTTTTTTCTTTTTTTTTTCCCTCACCTCTTGCTTTCCCTTTTAAGCATGCAGAGCTAGCTAGTTTAGCGACTTAGGGGACCCCCCCCCCCCCGTCAGGGCGGATAGAAAAAAAAGAAGGTCTCACATGTTACATGTACATGTATCTTAATTTGTATCTCGCTTCTCCTTCTTCTTCTTCTTCTTCTTCTTCTTCTTCTTTTGGTGGCCTTTTAAGATCCGAGACATAGATGTCAATCGGAGAATGACACAGTGCATCGCTTGAGGCTGACTTACTTTACTACTTTTTTTGGTTGTCTTATTTCGCTTTTTGTTGCTTCAAAGGGGAGGAATGACGGATAGTGTACTTTACCGTTTTTAACCACACCCGACCTCTTTTTTTTTTGGCTGACCCCACAGACTGTTGGACAGCGCGCACGGCGGAGTACATTACATGAAATGGTCAAGCGAGGTGGGGGGCAGCAAGGGCATACACGTAGGTGATTGTGGTCCGGGAGCTGGAGTTATTTTGGTATCCGTGGGTGGGGTTTTGGCTTTGGGCTGGACTTTTAGGCTGCAGACAAGCGATGGGTATTGCCGTGTATGGGGCAATGGTCATTTTCCCCTCTCTTTCTCTTTCTCTTGGAAAAGCGAAAAAAAAAGAGGTAAGCAACTGGAGAATGTAATGAAAACTCGGTGCAATTTTAGAGCGAGAGTAGTACGGACGAAATGTAAAGGCAGGACAAGACTTCGAGGCTGAGAGAAGGGAGGGGAAAGTTAAAAAAAAAAGTTAGTAAGTTGTTGCTGCACGTGCGGGACAGGTACCCGAACCCGATTTTCTCGTATAGCCAGCCAGCCAGCCAGCCAGTTCACGTGTTGCGCCTCTTTCACCCCGTAGAGCTAAAAACACACATGTCTTGCACTCAACACCATCACCACCATCACCACAAATAATTTTAGATACGCAGACCGCTTTCTCGAATCCCCCGCTTGCTGCATCATCATCATCGTCATCATCATCAGACACACAAATAGCACACGCCAAATGTCCGATGCATCCCCAAAAAAATGATCCTCTGGGGGCCAAAACAACCACAATTACCTTTTACAACATACGTCTCTACACGCACTAGCTCACCTCTCTTTTCGCTTCCTCTCGCTAAACATCATCCGCTAATGTATTAGCCCACCTGGCACACTTCCCGTCCCGCGTATACTTGCCACTGCACACAATTGAAGCCAGCACGTCTCCATCTGCATCGAACAAGTGCCATTGCGGCAACGAAACCAGTCAAATCGGCACAACCTCCCTTATCCAGTCTAGCTTCCCACCGCTGTTTCTTTTCCCGCTTTCCCCGTAATAGTAGTCTCTCTAATCCAGCTATACTCGAGACCCAAGAAACCTTTTTTTTCAAAAAAAAAAAAAAAAGACGATATGTAGGTAGGTAGTTAGTATATACTAAAATAAGGAACGTCACTGTCCGGGGAAATCCCGTACTACTAGTCCCCCTCTACTAGTCTCTTTTTTTCTTTTTTTTCTCTTCTTTTTCTTACCCCCCCGCCACAATAGGTGGAGTTGTGGTATGATGGTGGCGTAGCGTAGTGGCGCAAGAATTGCTGGCGAAGAGAGGTACGATGGTACGCGTCACGTGAGGAGTGGCGATGGCGAAATATGGAAAAGTTTGGGACCAAAGGGGGTGGTTTAGTCGCGGGACGGGAGGTATATCGTGGTACACTATGGTATGGACCCTGCGGATGGGAGGGAGATGTTACATGGCTTTGTAACGGTTGCGGCTCTATTTTTTCACGGTTGGGGGGGTTTTTTTTGCGGGTTTGCGTTTCTGAAGTGGTCCGAGGAGGAAGGTTGAGTATACGGAGAGGAAGTCGTATGATGGTCGTACGTTTTTTTTTTGTGATAGGGGATACGAGTTTGTTGAGGGTTTGAGATGTGGGAAGGTGTACGGGAATGATGTGGGATGGGGAGTAGGAGTGGGCGAGGATTGAATCGGTTTGGTAACGCGAGTAGCGAGTTTAGTTGAGATATGAAACGAGAAAAATAGTAGTAACACGATATTGCTTTGTGATTGCAGATACGAGTGGTTGCAGGTTATGGTGTCATGGAATAGCAATGAGTGACCTGAGATCCGAAATTAGAAGGTAGTTTAGCGAAGGAAATGTTAGGGTGACGAGCCGGTTGCACATTCGCTTTCGCATTGGAAAATGAGGTTGAGGTTTTATTTTCCAAAGCATGTTCATGTCTTGTATTTGTTCGATCTGTTGTTGTCGGAAAAAGGTAAACAGAAATGTAGGAATCGGTGAAACGTCATTGGCATATATTTTCTTTTTGTGGACTTATCTTTTCTTTTTTAGTTAACGATCCGAGATTTTGTAGTTGATCAATAAAGTATAAGTATACTAGGTATTTGCTGTTTGCAAATTGAGACACCGTTCAAAGGTTCCCCGCAAAAGTATGTCCGCAAGTGGCACTCATCGGTCTCGCAGTGTCCATTATGTCTGGCTTTTTTGAATCAAGTTTTATTCTACAAGAACATCGCTTCTAAAAAAAACACACAGCAAGCGAAATTATTGCGAGTTCATCCAGCCCATACCTCCCAATGCCATCCTGGTGTGCTCAACCATATTCGTAAACCCATGTTACCCTCACAAAGCCGAAAAACGCCAGCCCATTCTCATGTCTCATAGCTCATAGCTCATCACCCACACACCAATTTCAACACTCCACCGTCGCGGCAAACGCCCCGGTCCCCTGCCCCTCGGGTGCCCCAACAAAATCTCCCTCACTCAACACGCGATCAAACATCAAACAAGCCGTAGCCAGATACCCGCCCTCGGTGCCATAATAACCCGGGGGCACGACCACATTCTCTGCCCAAAATGCCGTCTTGCACTCGATGTGGTCGCCGTAGCCGTAGCATTGTTGCAAGCACTGCTGTGCCATTTGGGTTTTGTTGGAGGAGAAGGAGGGGTAGTAGGCGCTGTAGAGGGAGGCGTCGGCGGTGGCCGGGGCAGGGAGGAAGGACTGATTGTTGTTGTTGTTGCTGCTAGTAGGCGGGGCGAGTGGTGTGATGGTGCAGGTGGAAGGGATGGGTACGATTGCAGGGCCGCCTGCTCGTGGGGTGAGGTTGGATGTTGGGAGGGCGGAAGCGAGGGAGCAGAATGCTGCTGTCGCTGCTGCTGTGAAGATGGTGCGCATGACGAGTGTTGTGATGACGAATTCGCGGAACGACGCGGCAGGGCTGTGACGATAGGAAAGCAACGGGACTTTTTTTTATCGATTTCCTGAGGTGGAGAGGGTTATAACTCGTACTCGACGCGGGTCTATATGCATATTTATTGACTGTGGCTGTGATGTCAATGTAGATCCGACCAAACCAGCCTCGCGCTTTCAGGGTTCAGCCGCAACGTTGTGTGCATGTGTGTGCATGCCAGTATTTAGCCTGGCAGAGATCGGTAATCGAAATCCTCGTATGATGTGACTGCGTCTTGCAACGGCTGTCAGCCGTGTTCGTACTTGTGCTCAAAGAGGGTGATGCAATCGTCTGCTTGATTTGATCGGCAGTGGTGGTCAAGTCCCAAATGATGTCAAGCGCGTTCGCGATGTTGCAGCATGCTTGCGCTTGTCTAGGGTATGCAATAACTCGCTTGGGTATCCTAGGCGGGGAGACACGTTTTATTCTATTTGGGGCGTACAATGTCTCATTTCGGACCATGTCCGCTGTATTGTTTTGAGCGGTAGTGTCGTGAGTGAGGGGTTGGAGTAATTGTTGAGGAATAACGTGGTAGTACTAGAGCTGAGATGGAGAGTAGTTTTTGCAGTCATCAATCAGGGCATGGTATCCCATTCGATGGGAATGCGCTGCCTTGCTCTATCTTGACTTTCGCTATATTTTTTGAGTTTGTAAAAAATGATCTCATATGTCTTGAAAAATCGGGCTATGCCGAAAGGAAGAAGGTAGTCGAGTGGCGACGATGCATGTTGGAGGAGTTAAAATTTAATATGATCAGAGAAGATATGAAAGGGAGTAAGGATGATGACTACACAGAAAGAAGATATAAGAGTATGCGTGGTGAATGGTTCTAAGTGTGAGTATATACGTACATATCACATTGATAAAGCCGACAATTCTCTCGTATAGGCAAGAAGATTAGATCAATATAACCAGAGATCATTGAATCACATTCTAATGGTATATATGCATTCACTGCCAGGTGCTTAAAGTCAATGTTGGGGATTGAAATCTTTTACTGTGCTCATACCAGCTGGCTTATATAATGAATCCAATCTGATACCACAAAGTTACATGAGTATCTAAACAAATCAATAATTCGCTGAGTGATGAGACTTAATCCTGGTATTTCATCAGGAGGTATTAAATTTCCATTGTGCAAAGTATGAGAGGGGTTTATTTTTAATGGAGTAGAGAAATCAATTATACGGATACAATTCAATATGATTTTGGACTGAATTCAACAAAAATATCCATGATAGCTATTTTGACATTTTTTACATTCCATTGAAGAGACACTTTACTTGCACTATGGCATCTATTATTTTTTCGTACTTGCAAACATCTTTTGTCAATCCAATTTTGGGGAGCGCACATCACGTGACTGATTCTCAGCACGTCTATATGACTTCTACTATTGAGATAATCATCGTCTTTTCAACATATCGCACGAATGCTGAATCGCAATTTGGCAAGAGATATAACAGGGAGTACAATGGTCTCACAGATCATCTCTGAATGACCATGCCGAATATTCTCCCTTCTCAAATTTCAGATAGTGCCAAGCAAGACCACGCGTTCGAGAACAAAGGGACATTTTCCAGACTTCTTCCATGGACCAGGAGCACCACAATGTACTAATATTAGTGTACCAGGCATGAATTCGGTCGTTGGAATTGTTTCTGCAGCCTATATCGAGTACATGCTAAGCGTGTCACATTAGACAGGCTTCGGGATGAATTCGAGACTGGTGGTGTTTACGTTGAGGCAAGGGGATGGTCCACGTAATGGTACACAAGTAGACAGGTGCAGCAAAAGCAAGGGGATTTCCTGATGCGGAAGCGGGCAGACTGGCTTTGACAACATGTCATACGGTAGGGCTATTGCCGAGGGAGCCTGGCACGATTACCTTTGTTTTTCTCCCAGGGACGGGGAGAGTGAATAAGCTGTCGAAAGCTAATATGTGGGCGAGGCAGTGTCGGCAGTAAGCGCATCGCTGGCAGGCTGAAACTCGTGTTGCGGGATGCTGGACAAGGCCGAGAAGATGACGAGGTGTGGTTGAGAAGTAAATGAACAGGTTGATTGGGCCGAACGCCGCACCGTAAACGGCCGTACGATATACGAGGCTGACACTGAGGGCTTTGGGAGGGGGAAGGTTGGGACAATGGAGAGAAGGCGGTATTCAGACGTTATAGTCTTGTATTCATGCGGGCGACTGCGCCACAGGAATGGTGGTGACGGCGACACGGGACGCGTTTCGAAGGGCCCGGTCAATGGACAAACAATGACAGGCAGCGAAGGGGCTCAGTCGGGAGGTGGGTCTGACAGGAAACAAAGTATGAGGCGCATTGGACTAGACGAGATAAGTATGGACGAGTATTGTCAATAGTATGTGCATGTGGAAAAAAGGGCCGGGGCTAATGTGGAGTAAAAGGAGATGACGAATGGAAGAGCATAAAGATGCATGACTATTATGGGTGATGAAGAAGGAGCAGCAGCAGCAGTAGCATAGTGAGTGTGTGACCATGAGTAGGGAAGCGAGGTGGGTGTGGCAGGACTGAATCGAAACATTTATGCGGATATGGATAGTGGAGTCATGTCGATGTGATTGTCGGAGTAAGTATATGGTTCAATAGTTTGGATAGCGTTGGAGGGCGTAGTTGTGGTTCACGACGCTATCAAAGGAGAAGATTGTGCAGTGGGAAGCGAGAGCAACAGGCAGGTGACTGGATTGGGAAGTGCCATGAGGACAAATTAGGCTGAGTGAGAAGATCGACAGGCGCGGTGTGTTTGTGCGGTACGATGGTACGGTGGTGACGGTGGTTCCTGCCTTTGGTATCCTGGGGGGAAGGATTGAGTCTGAGCCGGATTAGTGGCATGTGTACTTATGTACACGGTGTGTATGTAGTCTCGAGCACGGCAGTTGTGGCGGATGCGGGGAGTGATCAGTATGTGGTGCAGCAGCGGCGGCGGCGGCGACGTTGGGATTGACAACGGCATGCAAGAGGTTGCTTTTTGTCGCCGATGACGGCAAACGGCTGTGTCTGCAAAGTGCGCAACAGCAGCAGCATCAGCATCAGCAACAGTAGCATCAGCCGGCGTTGGCAGCCGACGCGGGTTGATAGCCATGGCCTGGGGGGGGGGCACAGACAGGGGCTGATCCATGTCCCGCACGACACAAGCAGGCCACGCACAAGCGGGCAAGGCACCAAGCTGGGAGCGGCGAGCAGAAGCCAAAACCGCCCACCTGCCTAGGGCGAACCTTGGGCCTTGTCAGTGGTAGGAATAGTCGACTTGAAAAAACCATGTGCTCCAGTTACCAGAGACTGCTAATGCAGGCGTGGGCACCATTTGGCTGCACAGGCGGGGGAAAGATTGAGATGATACGAAGGAAGGGCAGCGGGAGAGGGCGTGATTCAAGGGGCTGCGTGGCACCCCGATGGCCCTGCATCTAATTCCATGTAGGTAAGTACTTAGGTTGGAGCAATGTCGGTGCAAACCGTTGGGAAGGAAGTGAGTGAGTGAGTGCTATTCTATTTACACAGTAGATACTAAGCAAGTACTTAGACCAGCATCCATGTATACATGGCTAGCAGAGTCGAACAAGCCATGTCAGCAGCGGGCGGAAGGTTGGGCGTAACAAGTAATTATGGCCCATGTCAAGCCAACCGTCATGGCCCAGGAAAAGCTGCCATCTGGACGACGGGGCGCCGGGGGAGAAACATGCGAGTGGAGGGACAGAGGGCAGAGATCAGCGTCATTCGCCCCCAGCAGCGGGTCCCGTGTTTTGCCGAAATGAAGGGCTCGGCGATACTCGTCTGTCATTGGTCAGTTTACCGAGTGTTTCCTGACCCCTGACCCCTGCCCTGGACCTGGCGAGGCTGCCCTCCATGACAGAGACGGGAGAGAGAAGAAACGATCAGCGAGCGTGTCTAGACTGCAGCCTCTGTGTCGCATCATCGCCATGGCCTCTGCACCCGCCAGCACCAACGCCCTCGCCCTCGCCCTCGCCCTCGCCGCCGCTTCTGTCCATCTTGGCCAGCTTGGGAGGGAACAGAACTGGGGTTGCCCGTCCCCCCCAATCCCCCTCCCCTCCCCTTCCCTTGCCTAGTGCTGTTTGACCACACAACCGACAACCGTCTGCACGACCAGGGCTCTGCCGGCCAGGTGCAAATTAATCCGCATCCACAAGCACAACAGTCGCCGCCGTCTGCAATTTGCACCACGCATGCTATAGGTGGGCGCCATGTGTGCGTCTGTGGCCACAGCCGCTGCGCCTGGCTTGCCCTCTCCTTCCCTCTCCCTCGCCCGTAAACTCTGCACCTACTGCCCTCAGCATTTTGCGTCTGTCAAGCCTTCACCACCGTTCGACGAGTGCAACCGACGACGCGACTACACCCTGTCGAGCGAAGCGGCGTTATATTTGGCCACTATCGAATATCGAATGCACACACCCGCCGCGCCAAACCCTGCCTTTTCCCGTCCTGGAAGCTCCCAAGCCACCGCTAGTCACGAGCTGCTGGAGCCCTTGGTTCTCCTGCAGGGTGCACACGTTAGCCACGCTTGTCCCTGCCAGCCGTCGTTTTGGCCTCGACACCGGAGCGACATCTGCTGCTGACGCCGGCATTGCCCTTCCTTCTCCCTCTTCACCGTCCCGTCGCCCGCGCTGCCTTCCCAAGCCGACTCTTCCTCACCCTCAGCCGACAATCCTCACCGGGCCCTCTCCTCCACCGACACTGCGCGCACCACCAAGCCGCCCGTTGCTTCACCCTCCCTCTCGTGGCGCCCCTTCGACAAGCCCGCAGCCTTACGCTCTCTCTATCCTTCTCTCCCTCTGCCTCACCACCCACCCCGATTCTCCGAATCACAAACGCTCCTTTGAATCCCACCTCTTGCTCCCGCAATCGCACCTCCGCCGTAATCAGCCCCTTGCTTCTTGCCAACCGTCGCTCTCGTTCCTTTTTGCCAGCACAAGCTCCAGACTCCAACGCGCGCTTCAGCCCCGCTGGACCCATTCAAGACGCGCAAGCCTCCCCGTTAGCCAGGAACAAAGCAACTCCACCCTGTCGCAACTTCATCGCCACTCTGCCCACTCTGTGCCCATCGTCATTGTTCTCCAACGCACCCTGGATCCCGTGCCCTGATCGACGACTGCGACGCTTTGCTCTACACTCGGTTGCCGGTTGACATCCACCTGTCTACCAAAGTCTTGTTTGACGCTGGTCCGTACCGTGCATCCGACCCTGCGTGACGACTGCCTTCTGGAACCTGTCACTGTCAAACATGACGGCATAGATTTCACGACAACCTCCAGATTCATTGCGACGACGCCAACACTACACTTGCTAGTGCTTTTGCGTTAATTCTAGCTGCACTGACAGTCTAGTGAGTGATGCTGCCCTTGTCGCGCCCCCCCCAAGGCACCATGCTGACGGACAACAGGTCCATTCTTTACCCACATTGACAATCGTCAAGTCCACTCGTTTTACCATAACCCTGACAGTCTGTTCTCCCAACCACACCAATTGCACGTGTCGTGACCTGACAACCCTTAGGCTCCAAAGGCTTTCGCCTTTGACCATCCGCTAGACACCTAATCATCCGTAGCACGGGGACATAATCGTAAATATGCCACGATCTTCAACCATCTGGGCGGCCGCCCTCTTCATGGCCAGCATGTCTGGCTCCGGCCCACTGCTCACCACTGCCGAGGCCATGCCTGCACCAGGACCTGGACAAGCACAGGATCGCCCTCGATACTACTTTCCACGCCACGTGAAGCGAGACGACATCAACGCGATCGTATCAGCACCGTCGTCATCTTCTTCCTCGGAACAAAGCACCTCTGACCGGCTCTCGTCGCGTCAGATTGATTTCCCCTCTTTTATTGAGACTCTATTCCGTGGCTCATCTGACAAGGCGGCGCTTTCAACTTCGTCGGATCCGGTCGTTAACACAAACGATGTTGATGTTACTCCCAACGCCCCGTTGGAGGTTCTTTCAACGCTGCCCCCAGTCAACTCTACTGCACCTTTGTCTCCATCTGGTGTCCCTCAGTCTACGACCGACAGCCCGGCTCCCTCGGTGCAGGTGCCCACCTCGACACCCAATCCTTCTCCATCGCCGTCACCTGAGCCGCAGCCCAGTCCGTCACCGTCACCGGAGCCTCAGTCCACTCCATCCCCTGAGCCAAAGCCGGAGCCTCAACCCACACCTGAGCCCCAGCCTACTCCATCGCCGTCCCCGTCCCCATCGCCTGCGCCTGAGCCTTCTCCATCCCCCGTGCCTGAGCCTGAACCCACTCCAGAGCCAAAGCCAGAGCCTAGCCCGTCTCCGGAGCCTGAACCCCAGCCTGCTCCATCGCCGTCGCCTGAGCCTACTCCGTCGCCATCGCCATCGCCATCGCCTGAGCCTCAGCCCACTCCATCGCCGGAGCCCAAGCCGGAGCCTAAGCCGGAGCCTCAACCTACTCCTTCGCCTGAGCCATCCCCGGAGCGTCAGCCTGCTTCATCGCCATCGCCATCGCCATCGCCTGAGCCAGAACCTCAATCCACTCCTTCGCCTGAGCCTCAGCCGGAACCAAAGCCCACTCCATCGCCGGAGCCGGAGCCTGAGCCTCAGCCGACTCCATCGCAGCCATCCCCAGCTGGATCGACAGGCGGTTTTCCCTCGGTGATTGTTCAGCCTACTTCGTCTCCTGAGCCTCAGCCCAGCCCATCCCCTGAGCCTCAGCCCAGCCCGTCTCCAGAGCCTGAACCCCAGCCAACTCCTTCGCCTGAGCCTAAGCCGGAGCCAAAGCCCACTCCTTCGCCGGAGCCGGAGCCTGAGCCTCAGCCGACTCCATCGCAGCCATCCCCAGCTGGCTCGACAGGTGGTCTTCCCTCGGTGATCGTTCAGCCTACTTCATCTCCCGAGCCCGAGCCTCAGTCCAGCCCATCACCAGAGCCTGAACTCCAGCCAACTCCTTCGCCATCACCTTCGCCATCACCCATTCTTCCAATCCTTGGCTCTACCGGTCTGCTTCCCGACATCATTGTGCTGCCTACGCCTTCCAGCCCTAGCCCATCATCTACTCCGGATGAACAGCCGTCAGATATTGTGAAGCCAACTTCCGATGCGCCCGTCTCAAGTCCTACTGCTACCACTGGGGGACTGCCCGATGTCATTGTGTCACCTACTCCAAACACTCCATCGGATGCTTCTCCATCAACTGGACAGCGCATCGGTTCCACTGGAGGCATCCCCGAGACAGTAGTGACTCCTACTGCATCTCCTGCCCCTTCTGCGCAGCCGTCTTCGGTTCAGTCGTCAAGCTTCCTTGGACCTTTCATTGTTCCAGGATCGACTCAATCCGCTTCCGAGAATGTTCCTGAGGCTTCACCTTCACCTAGCTCCAACATTGGTTCTACTGGCGGGCTTCCCGACATCATTGTGCTTCCTACCAGCACACCCCTGATTGTCCTTCCTTCGCCTAGCTCTGGTGCTGGCTCTACTGGCGGGCTTCCTGACATTATTGTGCTTCCTACGAGCAGCCCTGCAAGCGCTCTTCCCACTCCTAGCCCAGAAGTTGGCTCCACTGGAGGAATCCCCGACATCATTGTTCTGCCTACTAGCAGCCCCTTGATTGTCCTTCCCACCTCCAGCTCCAATGTTGGCTCCACTGGTGGGCTTCCGGACACTATTGTCCTTCCTACAAGCAGCCCTGCCAGTGTTCTTCCCACTCCTAGCCCTGAGACCGGCTCCACTGGAGGAATTCCCGACATCATCGTGCTTCCTACAAGCAGCCCCGCCAGCGCTCTTCCCACTCCTAGCCCAGAAGTTGGCTCCACTGGAGGAATCCCCGACATCATTGTCCTCCCTACGAGCACTCCCTTGATCGTTCTGCCCACACCCAGCCCAGACACTGGCTCAACTGGAGGAATTCCTGAGAGTATTGTTCAGCCCACTAGCACTCCATTGGCTGCCCTTTCTACGCCCACCCCAGACACTGGCTCAACTGGCGGAATCCCTGACATTATCGTTCTTCCCACCAGCGCTTCTAGCGTGGAGTCACCTCTGCCATCTTCGGGCATCTTCATCGGAATCACTACTGCTCTCGGCACTCAAGGGTCTGCTTCCCCAACCCCATCTCAGCCCCTGGGCTCGGGACCCATTCCCACCTCAGAGGCTGCCGCCACTAGCTCTGTGCAACCAGAGCAGTTTGTAAGCTCGTCCATTCTACCTGATGTGTCAGGCATCCTGCCTTCTGGTACAGGTCTTGCTTCCACTGCCCCGACTCCGGTGCCTACTTCCGGCGAGGCCAGCCTACGCCCGACAATCATTTCTTCGCTGGCTTCGTCTGTTGGTACTGGCATTCCCACTAGTGAGCCTATTGTCGTTCCTACTGTCTCGGCTTCGAGCTTCGCGTCGGAGATCCTGTCATCTTCTGGAGTGTTTCCCTCCTCAGGTACTGTGCCAACTGGATCTGTGCCAGTCCCAGTTTCCACACCTGTCTCGTCTGGTGTACCCACTTCCGAGGTCCTCTCTTCAACTGTCCCTACGCCCACTGCCTCTGCTCCAGTTAGCGTCACACCTCCGGCCTCGGGTATCACTCCATCCGGCACAGGTGCTGTTGGTACATCTGCTTCCCCCACTGTCACACCTCCTGTGAGCAGCCAATCTTTGAGTGTGCCAGCATCGGAAGAGGTGTCATCAGGACTACCGACAGGCTCAGCAAGCAGTGCTGTACCCACACTGATTCCGCAAACATCTACCAACGCCACCGAGAGTGAGCTACCTACGCCAACTGCTGGCACAGGCTCCGTATCCTCAGCGCCAGTCATCTCGACACCAGTGGTCTCGACACCAGTACCCGCGTCGGAGACTCCTCTGCCAACTCCTTCGCCTACCCGCACTGAATCCGCCTCGCTCATCATTCCCGTCAGGCCATCTTCCATCAGCAGCGTGGCGCCAATTGTGTCCCTTACAGCGACTGCAACTGATAGCGCGACTACCTTGGTTGTAGGTACTAGCATCATTGTTGAGGCCTCTTCCATGCCCACTCCATCTGCTAGCCCTACTGCCAGCACTATTCCGTCAAGCTTGCCAAGGATGATTGCGCCTCCCGGAGGTGTCCCACCAGCCATTCAACAAAACACCTTCATGGGCCAAGTGTGCTTCAAGTGGCCGCTCAACTATCCATTTGTTTCTGCCAATGATGGTGGTCAGCAAATCTTCCACTACCTCCCCATTGCCATTGCCAACGCTTTGAACATCTCTGTTTCTGATGTCAAGAACTACGGTTTGAAGCCCCTCAACACAATGGAGTACTCTGGATTCATCACCACCGTGGCTATGTTCACCATTCCCGAGGATCTCCAGACTAAGCTGGCACTTCAACTTCGCAACCCTGCTTCTGCTTTGTGGAACAATGAGGACTCTACTGTCAACGATTTGACCAACTTGATCAACACCGCATGCCCACTTGCCGCTGGTAACCTCCCCGCCGATGGTCCCGCCGGTGGTTCTTCTGGCGAAGGCGAAGCTTCATCTCCTAATGGCGGATCTAATGGTGGCGGCGCAATGGGAGGAGACATTGGTGCCAGCCGCAAGGTCAACTCAACCAGTGCCATTGTCGCTAGCAGCGCCATTGTCGGAGCCATTGCCTACGGTGCGGCCATGTTCTTCGTTGCCCGCCGATACAGGAACAAGCGCATGGCCCACCAGCGGTCCAGCTCTGTGCCTAGCACCGGCCGCAACACCTTTGGCTCCATCCCTGGCGGTGCGGCTGCTTGGATGCACGGTGCACGCAACGGTCGTATGACACCTGGCAGCCGAGGCAGCAGCGCCAGTCAAGGACGCAGCATCAGGACACAGCAAATCTCAGCGCCCGTCATGGCTGAAAACTCTCTCGGCTGGAACTAAGGCGTTTTCGCCGCTCTTCTTACGTCACGCCTTAGCGGAGTGATCGTACCATATACCGGACGTTTGTCACTTTGCAAGCCACAGCCAACGTCTGACGCCCTTTGATGTATTTACATTACGGCTGTCTACTTTATCAAGATGTCCACATTCATCTATCGCACCGACCTCATTCAGGCCAGCATTTGCATCGCATCTAGCTGCTCGAATTTCCTCTTATCTTGTCGTCACTACCGTTCGGACACTCTCGTTAACACTGTCATAAAGCTAAAGATTATACTCCAACATAGTTTTCTATTCTTTTTTTCCCTTTCGTTGTATTTCTCTTCTAAGATACCAGTCTTTGCTTTCGGAAAAGCTAGACCGTTTTTTTCCTCTGTTCGATTTGTGGATGGGTGCGGTGGCAACTGTATGCCAGTGTCGAGACTTGGTGTAGAGTCCACTGGATCTATCATGCATCGCGCATGTATGGATAATGAGGGGCACTTGTGGGGAGGTTACAGTTCCAAGTAAATAGTCTTTGGTGAGAATCGAGAAAAGTCTACAAACTGCAGAGGCGTACCAGATGGTGATGAACAAGCGCATGAGCCAGCGGGGTAATAAGATGGTGTACGATTAGTCGATATAATACCAAAGCCTGTAATTCACTTTAGCCGGCTATGCCTTGCTTCGCCTGGATATCGAGACGACCTTAATCATGCTGTGTAACGTGCAAAGGCGGTCGTGTCGCGCATTTCGTCTGCTTTCTATGGCCTGCAGAAACTGCCACGTTGGGAAATAGTGACCTGAACCCTGTCGCGGTCTTGGCGCAGCTCCGCCGACATCGAACACATTGCGGACTCGCAGTAAGTTACGACGCAACCCGCTGACGCCCATTCCTCACTCTTTTACCCGTCTCCACACCAAACAACCTCCAGCACTAGCGCCTCGAGCTCCCTCTGCCCTCGACCTGCGCTTGTACGGACTGGCTACAAAAGCCACGTTCCCATAACCCACCCCTCCACCCCGAGCATAACTGAGCTACAACGATGCGATTAGACGTAAAGGTACGTCGCATAATGCAATTGGAATAATTTCATAGTGGAATACCATTGTTGACTTGGATATTGCTATAGAGGCAGCTTTTTGCGCGCTCAGAGCGTGTCAAGGGTAAGCGGACTTGAAATGCGCATGAGCTCTTGTGGATTGAACTGACACGCTACAGGCATCGGTAGGAATTGCACTCTCTTAACAAACGACCTTTACTAAATACCGCCAAAGACTTCCACCCAACGGAGCCATGGATCCTCACCACCTTGTACAGCGGTACGCATAACCTCAGGTCTATGGTCATGGATCAGCGCTGACGGTAACAGGGCATGTTCACATCTGGTCGTACATCACGCAGTCTATTGTTAAGACGTTCGAGCTCACCGACGTGCCCGTCCGCGCTGGTCGTTTCATCGCTAGAAAGAACTGGATAGTGGCAGGTAGGACACGATCCTCCCATGGATACAAGAAGAGGAATTGACAAACACCAATTCAGGTTCTGATGACTTTCAATTGCGCGTGTACAATTACAACACCTCAGAAAAGGTTACATCTTTCGAGGCCCACCCCGACTACATTCGCGCCATCGCCGTTCATCCAACACAACCTTTCGTCCTGACCGCCAGTGTGGGTAATACCCTACGGAAACACATAGAGGAGGCTAATGTGGGCATAGGATGATATGACAATAAAGCTCTGGGATTGGGACAAGTCATGGAAGTGTATGTACAAAACTCGTCTATGAGTGAGAAGAGAGCAGATGCTGACACGTACTAGGCGTCCAAGAGTTTGCTGGTCACCAGCACTACGTTATGGGCATTGCCATTAACCCCAAGGACCCCAACACATTCGCTTCTGCCTGTCTCGATAGGACAGTCAAGATATGGTCCCTTGGCAGCTCAACACCCAATTTCACACTTGAGGCGCACGAGACTAAGGGTGTCAACTTCATCGATTACTACCCTCAATCGGACAAGCCATATCTACTCACTACCTCGGACGATCGAACGGTCAAGGTCTGGGATTACACCACAAAGGCACTCATTGCAACGCTCGAGGGCCACACTTCCAACGTTAGTTTCGCGGTCTACCACCCGGAGCTCCCCGTTATTGTTTCGGGATCAGAAGACGGCACGATCAAGATCTGGCATTCTTCAACCTACCGGTTAGAACAATCATTGAACTACGGTCTTGAGCGCGCGTGGTGTGTGTCATACCAAAAGGGCAAGAACGGCATTGCGCTTGGTTTCGACGATGGCGCCGTCGTCATTACCATGGGTCGTGAGGAGCCGGCAGTCAGTATGGACGGTAGCGGAAAGCTGCTTTGGGCCAAGAATAATGATATTCTCACATCCGTCATCAAGGGCAGTGATCAGCTCAAGGACGGTGAACGGCTCACGCTTCCTAGCAAGGATCTCGGCTCGACCGAGCTCTATCCACAGGCTCTGCTCCATTCGCCAAACGGCCGTTTTGTGGCCGTCTGCGGCGATGGCGAGTATATTATCTACACTGCACTCGCTCTTCGTAACCAGGCGTTTGGTTCTGCCATGGACTTTTGCTGGGCGTCGAAAGAGCACGACAAAGACTATGCCATCCGAGAATCGTCCACCAGCGTCAAGATCTTCCGTAACTTCAAGGAGCGAAGTGTTCTCAACGTTGGTTTCTCTGCCGATGGTCTAAGTGGCGGTGTTCTCCTTGGTGTAAAGGGACAGGGCGGTATCGGTCTGTTTGACTGGGATTCTGGAGCTCTGGTCCGAAGGATCGAAGTTGAGCCAAATAATGTTTTCTGGTCTGAGAGTGGTGAACTCGTTACCTTGGCTACGGAGGACACTTTCTACGTATTGCGCTACTCAAGAGAGAACTATCTCGAGGCAGTACAGAATGGCGAAGTGGACGAGGACGGTGCCGAGTCTGCTTTCGAGGTTGTATGCGACATCAACGAGAGGTAAGTCGACTGTCACACCACGCTATATGATTGCAAGAACTAACAGAATCAAAGCGTTCGCACTGGTACATGGGTAGGAGACTGCTTCATCTACACAAACAGCACAAACCGCCTTAACTACCTTGTGGGCGACCAAACATACACCATCTCGCACTTTGATTCACCACACTATGTCCTTGGATACCTGCCTCGTGACTCGAGGATCTACGTTGCGGACAAAGATGTCAATGTCGTCTCTTTTGCCCTATCTCTGGCAGTCGTTGAGTACCAGACGCTCATTCTCCGTGGTGATCTCGAGGCTGCCGAGGAGACGCTGCCCTCGGTGCCGAAGGACCAGAACAACAAGATTGCGCGTTTCTTGGAAGGTCAGGGATACAAGGAAATGGCACTCAAGGTTGCCACTGACCCTGAACACCGCTTTGACCTCGCCTTGTCTCTGGGTGATCTTCAGCAAGCCGTTTCGATTGCTCGGGAACAAGACACGGAGCACAAGTGGAAGACGGTGGGCGACGCTGCACTCAGCAACTGGGATGTACAGTTGGCGCAAGAATGCTTTGTTAAGGCTAAAGATCTCGGTTCGCTCCTACTTCTGTATAGTGCCACCAGCGACACAACTGGCCTAAGAGAGCTGGCTGCTCTTGCGGAGACTGCGACAGCCAACAATGTCGCATTCTCTGCGCTGTGGCAGATTGGTGACGTGCAGGCCTGCATTGATCTTCTTGTCAAGACGGGCCGCTTTGCTGAGGCTGTGCTCTTTTCACAAACGTACAAGCCCAGCGCGACTGCCGAGCTGGTGAAGCAGTGGAAGGCATCATTGGAAAAGGAGCAAAAGACCAAGGTGGCCAGGCTTCTTGGTACGCCGCCTCATGGTGATGGCGAGGGTGATGCTGAGATGTTCCCTGAATGGGATGAGTATCTGAGGCTAGAGAAGGAGGGAGGTACTGTTGAGGACCTGCTTGTGCAAGAAGAGGAAGGAGAGGCTGAGGATGCGGACGAGGAGATTGCAGCTGGTGCAGAAGAGGACGAAGAGGAGGAGGATGAGGATGAGGATGATGAAGAGGAAGAGGAGGAGAAGTAGAGTCATGGTTTATGATGAATGATGTCGTCTGCCTGTTTGGCGCGGTTGCTGCTTGAGAATATAATCTAAGAGTAGTCTTGTGGGAAGGAGAGAGAATGTGTGTACGTCGTACTCTCAAGCCCTCAACAAAATGGACATGAAAGTTTTTCAGTTTTTTTTCTTATTATTCAATATCAAAAAGGGTCGAAACAAAAAACGCCATTCCATTCTATTTCTAATGATACATGTTTCCCATTGACATAGATATATATATATATATATAACGTACGTATGCGTATGCGTACGTGTGAGTATGTTTAATATTCATGCATATGCATCATGGGTACATAAAACCCAACCCAACGCAACCATCATCTTTGTTTCATGACCATGATTTGAGTGGTAGTAGTAATTCGGTTGAAAAGATTCCACAGGGGTTAAGCTCATTGCATAACAGTTTTAAAAAAAAACGTCGAGAGAGAAAGAGAGAGAGAGAGAGAGAGAGAGAGAGAGAAATGTACAGTTTAATGCTAATGATGCAAAATATCTCAGGGTTCTCTTTACCTCGAAACTACGGGGTCTCTTTCGTGCCTGTTTTCCGCGGCGGGCGGTGTAGGCCTGGGTCGATACTTGTCATCGCGGAAGACGGCCTCGCTACCGCGCTCGCTTGCTTCTTCAGTGGTGGTAGTGACTTCAGTTGTAGCATCGTCATCGTCGTCTTCCTCCTCTGATTCCTCCTCGGTGGTATGGACTCTACTCCTCACGTTGGCATTCATTTCTTCGCGGGTCTGATCGAGCGTGTCCAGGTCACGGAGGCCCTTTCCGCGACCGAAGAAGTCTTCAGTGCGGAGACCGCGGACGTCTGCGGCTTTGACAGCCTTGCTGCTGCGCAGGGTGCCGTCAGCCTTCTTGCGGCGGATGTACTCGCGGACGGGGCCCATGGCGGCGTCGCGGCAGGCTTCTTTGATGTCGGAGCCGGACATGCCGGCGGAGACGCGGACGAGGTAGTCGAGGTCGAAGTTTGCGGTGTCGATTTTTGTGCCGCGCAGGATAAGGGAGAAGATGTTGTGGCGTTGCGCGGCGGAGGGGAGGGCTACGGGAAACTTCTTGGGCATACGGCGGAGAATGGCTTCATCGATGTCTTGGATGCGGTTTGTGGCGCCGAGGATGCAGATGCGCTGGGGGTCCGAGGTGCCTGAGGAGGTGGACGAGGCGAGACCGTCCCAGTGGGTCATGAATCTGATATTGTGAGTTTAATCCACTTTTTTTTCTGACTGAGAGAAACGTACTCTGCTTTAACCATGCCGCTTGCTTCGTGTTCGCCGCTTCTTCGCTGTCCAAGCACCGCGTCAATCTCATCGATGAACACAATACTGGGCTGGAGCTTTCGCGCAAGACTAAAGACAGCATTCACAAGCTTGTTGCTGTCGCCATACCACTTCTCAGTCAGAGTCGAAATGTGCAGGTTAATGAAGCAAGCGCCGGATTCGTGTGCGAGGGCTTTGGCCAGCATCGTCTTTCCGCAGCCGGGAGGACCGTAGAGCAAGACACCTG